GTGCTCATGCAGGTAATGGGGCCGCTGGGAAGACAAACTCTCCGCCTGCCCCTGGGCTGGCCACTGTCTCAGCAAGTGCTGGATTGGGAGGTGGGCCTCCGCTCTAAGGCACGGGAGGCGAAAGCAGCTCTTCCCAAGAGCGACTGCTCCCGCAGGCCTATCGCTGGATGATCGACTCCCGGGACGATTACACGGAGGAGCGCTTGGCCCAGCTGCAAGACCCTTTCTCCCTCTACCGCTGCCACACCATCATGAATTGCACGCAGACCTGCCCCAAGGTGGGTGCCGGGAGCTGGTTTCCCCACCTGGGATGGGATGGCGGCTGGGCGAGCGAGGCGTGAGCTGTGCCCGGGAACCCCCTCCGTTCCCCCTTCCCCCCCCATCACTGTTTCTTCCTTAGGGCCTGAATCCCGGGAAGGCGATTGCCGAAATCAAGAAGATGATGGCCACGTACAAAGAGAAGGCGGCCCACGGCTAGCCACTCCCCCACCCCACCCCCCCGTGTGCACAGCCTGCCTTCCTGTTGAGAGAGGGGTGGGTGGGGGGCTTTAATTTATAGGTGGGTTTTCAGTGGGGTCACAGACTCCGCCTTGGTTGTGTGGACTTGTACAGTGAAACCTGTAAAGCCTAATTAAAAAAAAAACACAGTTTCCTACTTTGTCCCTCTCCTTTTCCCCTCTCTCTCTTCAGTTCTGGCTTCTCTCTCAAGGGGCAGATACTCCTCGGCACAGGGCTCAAAAGACCTGGGGAGGGGGGGAGTCTTTGAGGCAGGAAAGCCGGGTTGGTCAACTGCAGCTTTCCCCCCCCCCCTTTTTTTCTTCAGTTCATGAACAGCCTGTATTTCTTCAGCAAAACGTTCTTTTTCCCCCCAAAGTTTTTTATTTTTTATCTATATCTATCTATCTATCTATCTATCTATCTATCTATCTATCTATCTATCTATCTATCTATCTATCTATCTATCTATCTATCTATCTATCTAAAAGTGAAAACCACTCATGCCATAATCGCGAAATCTCCAGAACCGTAAAGCCTACAATCTTGAAATTTGCCACGTATGTTCCTCTTGGCTTCTAGGTGCTTCACTAAGAAAGGATTTTTCGAAATGACCATCAGAGCATTAGTATTTCCTATATTATTATGAGCACGCTCTGATGCTAAGGAGTTCTACTCCTCCTCCCCACCTGAAAAGAAATCTGTTCCAAATGCAAAAACACAAGCAGAGGAGAGGAGTTTCACTTTCAGTTTTACTTTCACAGCAGCAAGCAGCTGTACTACAGAACAGTTGAGCTAAGCCACGCCCAGCCTCCTTCCTGTCTCCTCCTTGCTCACACAGCAAATACTGTTTGAGTTTCCAAACACCCCTCAATTCTCACACACACTGACAGGATGCTAGTCAAATTTATACCGATGGATGCTGCAGGCTGGGACATTCTACTCCCACTCTCCCTCTGTTCCAACTGCCAGTTGCATTATATTAACACACTCTGATGCTACGGAGTTACACATTCTACATTAAGTTTCAGGCTGTAAGTGTCAATTTATCAAGCCTGAGCACATAGTTTCGTAGCGAAGCATGAGTGTCCAGCTAGTTTTTTTATAAATGTACCAAATATATAAATGTATATAAATGCCTTCAAGTGAGGGAAGTGTGACATCTGGGTGTCATACATTCTAATACAAATAAAACTTAAAGTTAATCATAATTATTACATTCAATCAACTTACATATTTCTAGTAAATAATACGCATTTGGATTAGATTAGATTAGATTAGAATTCTTTATTGGCCAAGTGTGATTGTACACAAGGAATTTATCTTTGGTACATACGCTCTCAGGGTATATAAAAAGAAAAGATACATTCGTTAAGAATCATAAGGTACAATACTTAATGATAGTCATAGGGTACAAATAAGCAATCAAATACTAGGAAACAAGATAAATTGTAAGGATACAGCAACTAGTTACAGTCATACAGTCACAAGTGGGAGGAGATGGGCAATAGAAAGGATGAGAAGATTAATAGCAATGCAGATTTAGTGAATAGTTTGACAGTGTTGAGGGAATTATTTGTTTAGCAGAGTTCGGGAAAAAAACTTGTGTTTAGTTGTTCTGGTGTGCAGTGTTTGTTTGTTTATTGTTTGTTTATTAGATTTGTATACCGCCCTACTCCCGAAGGACTCAGGGCGGTGAACAGCCATGAAATAAAACATATCAATACAAAATTTAAAATAGAAATAAAACAAGTTAGATAAATTTGGCTGAACCATATTTAAAACCCCAATAATTTAAAACCAAATTTAAAATTCCCATTTAAAAGAGGAGAAGTTTAGGTCAGGCCGGCTTGCTGGAATAGGAACGTCTTCAGCGTGCGACGGAAGGTACGCAGATCCGGAATCCTCCGTATCTCGGGGGGGAGCTCGTTCCAGATAGTAGGTGCCCCCACAGAGAAGGCTCTCCCCCTGGGGGCCGCCAGTCGACATTGTTTGGCCGACGGCACCCGGAGGAGCCCCTCTCTATGGGAGCGTACTGGTCGGTGGGAGGCTATTGGTGGTAGCAGGCGGTCCCGTAGATAACCAGGTCCTAAGCCATGGAGCGCTCTAAAGGTGATGACCAAAACCTTGAAGCGCACTCGGAAGACCACCGGGAGCCAGTGCAGCTCGCGCAGGAGAGGCGTTACATGGGAGCGCCACGTCGCTCCCATCACCACCCGCGCGGCCGCACTCTGCGCCAGTTGGAGCCTCCGAGTGCTCCTCAAGGGGAGCCCCATGTAGAGAGCGTTACAATAGTCCAGACGGGAGGTGACGAGGGCATGAGTGACCGTGCGTAACGAGTCCCGATCCAGAAAGGGACGCAACTGGCGAATCAGGCGAACCTGATGAAAAATCCTCCCGGTCACGGCCGTCAAGTGCTCTTCTAAAGACAGCCGTGAATCCAGGAGGACACCCAAGTTGCGAGCCCTCTCCGTGGGGGCCAATACTTCGCCCCCAATAGTCAGCGATGGCACCAGCTGACTATATCGGGATGTCGGAAACCACAGCCACTCGGTCTTGGATGGGTTGAGTCTGAGCCTGTTTCTATAGTGTCATTGCAATCTATCATTGTTCATTTATTCCACGTTTTCTCTTATTGCTTTCATTTTATTATATAAAAATGTATACATTGATATTCCCCCTTCCTTTATTTCTATCTAGTTTTTAATCGTATCACCCTTTATTAAAAAAAAACTTTTCCTTTCTTTTTAACTTCTAATCATGTCACCTACCTGAAAAAAAGAGAGAAAAGAAAAGAGAGAAAGGGAAGAGCAAATCAGAACAACAACATAAAACGTTCTTGAATAAACAGCAGATAAGCCATAAATGTTGGGGTAAAAGTGTACCTTGCCCAAATAAAATGATCCAGAAAAGTAGATTAACACCTCTTTATTTATGTATATAAGCAAGGAGGGGAAGAAGCCTTCAAGTGATGGAAAGTCTTATAGTCATTTGCAAGCACATGGGAGCAAGAGTTGGCATGCCATATTAGTCAGTAAATTCGGAATTTGGAATTTCTTACGGGATTAAAAATGGCATTAATTCAACTGAGTCGTTTCGCCTGTGTTTATAAGGACCATCCATGATTGAGAACATAAAATGGGGGTGGGGGGGTGACCCATACAGCATACCGGCTTGCCCTCAAGGTTGTTTGTTTTGATTTGGAACACAATTTGTAACACAGTTTAAGGAAGAGAAATGTAAACTTCCCCGCCACTGGGATTAGAAGAGGAATAGGAACTAGGATGGGATAGAATGTAGAAGAGAAGAGAATGGAGAATATGGAATGGAATGGAATAGAAAAGAAAATATGGAATAGAATAGAATAGAATAGAAAATATGGAATCGAATAGAATAGAATAGAATAAAAAATACGGAATAGAATAGGATAGGATAGGATAGAATAGAAAATACGGAATGGAATGGAATGGAATAGAATAGAATAAAAAATACGGAATGGAATAGAATAGAATAGAATAGAAAATACAGAATGGAATGGAATGGAATAGAATAGAATAAAAAATACGGAATAGAATAGAATAGAATAGAAAATACAGAATGGAATGGAATGGAACAGAACAGAATAGAAAAAAATAGAAAAGAAAATACGGAATGGAATAGAATAGATATAGGATAGGATAGAATGCAGAATAGAAAGAATAGAATTAGAATAGAATAGAAAGAATAGAACTAGAATAGAATAGAAAGAATAGAATAGAATACATAGAGTATAGAGAATAGAAGAAGAATAGAATAGAATAGAGAGGGAAGGAAAACAACAGAATATTTTTATTGACAGCGTGTGATGGGACACAAAAGGAATTTGTGGTGCATAAGGTCACAATGTACAACAGCCACTGGCTCACGGTTGACTCAGCCTTCTAACCATCTGAAGTCGGTAAAATGAGGACCCAGATTGTTCGGGGCAATAGACTGACTCTGTAAACCATTTAGAGTAGGGGGTCTCCAACCTTGGCAACTTTAAGCCTGGTGGGCTTCAACTCCAAGAATTCCCCGGTCAGTAAAGCTGGCTGGGAAATTCTGGGAGTTGTAGTCCGCCAAGCTTAAAAGTTGCTAAGGTTGGAGACCCCTAGCTTAGAGAGGGCTGCAAAGCCCTGTGAAAGCAGTATATAAGGCAGAGATCGTCAAACTTGGCAGCTTTAAGACTTGTGGACTTCAACTCCCAGAATTCTCCAGGCTGGAGAATTCTGGGAGTTGAAGTCCACAAGTCTTAAAGCTGCCAAGTTCGAAAACCTCTGGTCTAAGGGCTATTGCTATATAAGGGAGAAAAAAAATGAGAAATCCTAAACAGCCAATAGGAGGAGATAGCAGAAAACGAGTCCTCTATAGGAACCACTGCAGGAGAGGGGGGGGGGGGGGCCCTTCAGTCGGGACCCCTATAGGGACTACTTCCCCCGGCAGCCCCCCCGGGCCCCGGCCCCGCCCCCCCTCCCGATGAGCGATCAGCTGCTGCAGAGGTTCCCGAACTCGCCCAGCTCACCTCCAACTCGGCCGGCAGCCCCTGGTGGGCGAACGGAGCTGTCCACCTGCTGGAACCGGTGCTGCCGGTTCGAGAGTGAGAGCTAGAGCTAGAGACAGAGGCTTCGGCGGCTGCTCGGGACTCGCACGCAGGGCGTTTCTGGCGGAACCCGCTATTCTCCCGCTTTGCCTTCTCGGGGAGCCCCGGGACAAGCCCGCGGGCGAGTTTCGACCGGTTCCCCTCCGGCTAACGCCCCGGTGCCTCCACCCACCCACGGCTGGCCAAGGCAAGTCCCTTCGGCCGGGCTCTTCCTTGATCGCGGGCCAAGGCGAGGTGACACGTAGCACTGCGGGCGGCCCCGGTCGTTGGACGGAAGGCAAAGCGGCGACCGAGGGGGTCTCACCACCGCCGCCCCTCGACCGGTAAGGAGGCGGCTTTGCGGGAGGGGGGTTCCCAAGAGAAGCAGATCCTGTCCCCTTCCCTCCTCCTTTCCGGGGGGGTAGTGGTGGTCCTTGAGTGCTGCCCTAGCTTGCCCTGAGTCTCCCCCCCCACACTCAGCACCCTTGGCCGGAGTTTCCCCCTCCCCAAAAAAGGATTTTGCCTTCGCCCCTCCCGCCCCAAAGCTGCCCTACCAGCATGGCTGGGCTCAGCTTTCCCATGGGAGGAGGGAGGCTTGTTCTGAGCACCCCCCAGCCCCATACTATGTCAGTCCCTTGCCTGGAGTTTCTCCCTCCCCTTCGGGGTGGGGTGGGGCAAATGCTGCCCTATCTGCATGGCTGGGCTCAGCTTCCCCTCCTTTCCCATGGGACAGGGGGAACTTGTCCTGAGCGCCCCCCACCCACCCGGCAATGGGGCAGTCCCTTGCCTGGAGTTTCCCCCTCCCCTTCAAGGGGGGGGTTGGGTGGGCAAATGCTGCCCTACCTGCATGGCTGGGCTCAGCTTCCCCTCCTTTCCCATGGGAGAGGGGGAGGGGGGCTGGTCCTTGAGTGCTGCCCTAGCTTGCCCTGAGTCTTCACCCCCCACCCCACTCAGCACCCTTGGCCGGAATTTCCCCCTCCCCAAAAAAGGACTTTGCCTTCGCCCCCTCCCTCAAAAGCTGCCCTACCTGCATGGCTGGGCTCAGCTTTCCCATGGGAGTGGGGAGGCTTGTTCTGAGCACCCCCCAGCTCCATACTATGCCAGTCCCTTGCCTGGAGTTTCCCCCTCCCCAAAAAGGACTTTGCTTTCGGGGAGCCACCCAAATACTGCCCTACCTGCATGGCTGGGCTCAGCTTCCCCTCGTTTCCCATGGGACGGGGGGAGCTTGTCCTGGGCGCCCCCCCCCCCCCCCCCCCCCCATGCTGGCCCATTCCCTTGCCTGGAGTTTCCCCCTCCCCAAAAAGGACCAAATTCCACTGGCTAGGTGGCTCAGTGGCTAACGTGTTGACTCATTGATCAGAAAAGTCAGCAGTTCGGCGGTTCGAATCCCTAGCATAGATTTCCTGCACAAGCAGGGGGTTGGACTAGATGACCTCCAAGGTCCCTTCCGACTCTGTTACTGTTAAATACTGCCCTATCTGCGTGGCTGGGCTCAGCTTCCCCTCGTTTCCCAGGGGAGAGGGAGTGGAGGGTCTCAGCCATAAGAGGTGTCCCCTTGATGATCCAGCCAAAGCCTTATCGGCTTCTCCCCGGCTTCCTTCCAGTGACTGCCAGCTCCCTGCTCTCATCTTTTCTCTCCCCTCCTCATCCCGCTCCCCCCTTGCACCGGCTCCACTAAACTATCTGGGCACCTAAACCCTGAAGTAAAAATCCCAGGCACACGAGTGGGGCAGAGGTCGGACAAGGGCAGAGGCCGGGTATCCAGGACCTGCTCAGGAGTGAACGTGACCCCCTGCCAGTGAAGCCCACCAAGGGGGAAGCCGATGCTGCTTTCGCCATAATAGCCCAGTGCTAAAAGACTCACCTTTCCTGTTTGGCCAGCTACCGATGGCGGGTACGAGACTGCAGTTCTCTTAAGGATGTTTGGAAAAGCTGGATTGTCCAATGGAGGCTGCCGAGTGTGCCAGGATCTTGCCAGGTGAGAGGCGAAAGGGCTTAAAAAGAGAAGAGGGATAGGGGTGGGGGAGCCAAAATCCAGCTGCTGCCAGGGGTGAAATGCTCCCGGTTCGGACCGGATCACCCAATCCGGTAGCGATGGCGGGTGGTGGTTCAGAGAACCGGTAGCAAAAATTCCTGCCCCACCCCCCATGTCCAGGTGAGCCGTGCGATCATCAGAGGCTTTTTTTTTTTTAACTTTTAAAAGCATTTTTTCTACAACCTCTTCGGCCAAAAAAATGCTTTTAAAAGTAATTTTTAAAAAGCCTCTGATGATCGCATGGCTCCCACTGGGATTATCAAAGACTTTTTTTTTAATTGAAAAGTTTTTTAAAAAGTTTACACGTATTTTCCCCCTCTCCTCCCCCCTCCTGTCCCAACCCTCCCACCCACCCCCCTTGACTTCCCAGAGCAAATACAGGGTATAGCATTTAACAAACAAACAAAAAAAATAAGCTATCTATAGATTTAACTCCCTCTTGCACTTTAACTCCCCTTGTTCATATCTAAATATAACTATTTAAACCAATTATTGCTTGAAAGTAATCAATCCAACTTCCTTCTTGTCCATTCTTCAATAATAAGCAAGTCTTCTTTCTTCTACAGTAAAACATCAGATCTCCAACCCTTACATACATTAATACCTTAACAAAATATTTAAACCAATCTCAAATAAAATATATTGTAGAAACTTTATTTTTACTTTTTACCCCATAAACTTATATTAATTCTTCTTGAAAACATTCCTTACTTAGTAGCTTTACATAAACTTATTCATCTTATTCTCTACAAATCCTCTACGTATAATCAAATAACATCTTCACTGTTTAATATCCATATAAAATATTGTCAAAAACCTTCCCTCAACCCTTGCACCATTTATATTTTCCTTATACCCCACAAGTTTATATTTATTCTTCAACAAAGCATTCTTTAATATGGTATTAATGTAATTTAAAACAACATATAAAAGCTTAAGTAATATCCTTCTTCTAACCCATAAACTTATATTGAATGATCTACACTGTCCATAATTTTTACATCCACAATATTTTTCTTTTAACCCATAAACTTATATAAATTCTTCACCAATTCATAACAATTCAATCATAACGTTATTTAATGTAACTTTTCAAAACAAATCATGTCCCTAAATATAGGTAAATCATTCATTTTCCCTATAATATAACTTATACAGGTATTATCATTCGTTTTCACTATTACTATCCTCCCCAAAAAAGAGGATTGTAATTTTTCCTTCTCCATTTTTTCCTGACTTTTTTGCGAACCTTTTGCTTCAGTCTTTTTCCTCCGCCTTCTTTTATTTTTATAAGTTCTTGGATTTTTAACTGAAGTTGCTGAACCTTACAATCCTGTTCTCTTTGCAAAGTAGTTCCTTTCAGTAAAAACACCTCTTTAACTGCGATTGGGAATCCATTTTTGTAAAAAAGTTGTAAAGTTCCACTTCGAATCTTCCTTCTTATATAAGAAATCCCAACGCCTCCTGACAATTTTCCAGTTGTCTATGTCAAAGCCTCTGAAGAAATGTTTCTCACTGTTTCCTGGTTGCGCTCCTTCAAGCCTCTCTGCCTTTCCTTCTTAATTTGGAAAACCTCCATTTCATTTTCCAAAGGCACATTAAACTGGGTTATTTCGTCCGCCTCCTCCTTCAGCAACTCCTTGTTGTTTAGTAATTGGAACAATACAGTATCTTCACTTGTATCTTTGTTTCGAGTTTGTGTAAAGTCCTTCTTGAAAAGCCCTTCCGGAGGTAAATGATTCTAAAATTTCTTCAAAGAGATCCACAGTCAGTATTTGTGTATTTACTGATATATGTAATGGTGAGCCTTCATAACTTTCAAAAAAGCCAGCCATTTTTTTTTCTCTAATAAGACTTTCACTTTATACTTTTCCAACAACTAAATCAATTATTCCAGTCCTTAAATGGTACCAGTCTTTTTAAATAAAAGTCCTTTTAAAATAAAATCCTCTTCTTTTAAACAGGGACTTTCAGCACCACATGATATTTTGTAACTAACTTTCACTTCTCCACGCCCTCGTTAGAATCAAACGCCATCTTACTTTCCCTTTCTCCCATAGAAAATCAGAGGGAAGTGATAGACTCTTCGGAGTTAAAGTTCAGTACTTGCCATTTTAGTTTCTCCTGTATTTGCTCTGCCAGCTTTCAAGTCCAAATTTTTTTTTTCTTTAAAGTTGAGTTGCTGGGGTGGTCGCGACGCCTAGTTCTGCTTGAAGCAGAAACGTCCCAGGTCCGGAGCAATGACGGGCTTCCCGGGGAGCTCTCACCCTTTAAGCCCCAGATTTAAAAAGAAACCTGGGGCTTTTGGGGAGCTCTACCCACACCCGTCGGCTCTCTTTCCTCCCTTCTCCCAGGGGAAAAGTTTTCAAGCCGCTGAACAGCCGTTGTTAATGCAATTAATTAACAGCCGTTGTTGTAAAAGACTGATTTATTTAGTAAACCAAGGTTTGAACGGGCTTTGTGTGTGCTGCGTTCTTTGGGGTCCATAGCTGGGGCAGAACAGTCCCTTCCAACTCTTGTTAATCTGTACATCTCTATCTTTCTCATTGTTTTCAAACAATGAAAAAGTCGGCCTCTTCCTTGGGCAGTCAGACCTGTTTTGCTACCTCAGAGCTGAAGTTCAACACCGCCTGAGGAAGTAAGAAATGATTTCGGCGGGATTTTCCCGTCCTATGTCGTCGTCTCATGCAAAGAGAAAAACTCCGTCTTGCAAGGACGCTGACGAGTTGTTGTTGGTTTTTTTTTGCTTCCTCTCTCCTTTGTTAGGTAATAGCAGCCTGTCGGGAGATCAGCAACTGAATTACCATTCTCTGGAGCAGAGCCCCCCTAAACCCTCTACAGTAAGAAGAGAGTTTCCAAACAGGGCACCTTTGAGGCTGAGGGAGGAGAAGCAGGGGTGGGCTTCAAAAATTTAGCAAGGGTTTCTCTGCCCGGTTGTTGGGTGAGCGTTGCCATGGTGGGTGTGGCCTAGTCAGCCTCCTGCACCATGGCGGGTGTGTGTGGCATTTTTGCCCTCCCCAGGCTTTGGAGGCTTTCCTTGAGCCTCCAGGAGGGCGAAAACGGCCTCCCCAGGCTCTGGAGGCCCTTCCCGAGCTTCCGGTAGGCCTGTTTTTCGCCCTCCCGAGTCTCCACGCGTGCCCTGCATCCAAAATGGGTCGCGTGGGGACTCCTGGGAAGGGCAGGATGGGGTGGGCATGGCCAGCCAGGAGTGGGATTTGGGGATTCTCGGAACTGCACAGAATCTTAGCTAGAGGTTCTCCCGAACCCCTGCGAACCCCCAGCAGCCCACCCCTGAGGAGAATTGGGGGGGGGATTAGAGGACCGAGGGAGAGTCAGTGCCTCATTGGACTGTCGATCCCGGGAACTAGAAGAGGGCTTTTCCAAAGATGGGGCGGCTAAGGCCAGCCTTTCAATGCTTGAGGCCAATGTCTGAGGTGAAGCTCATGAGGAAATGAGATAAATTTGCATTTCTCTTAAGCCTTTTGTATCCTGGAGGTTTTAAGAAATCCAGAAAGGATTAAGCTGTGAGTCCAAATGGCTGGGCCTGGAGGCTTCGGGTGTTACCAGGAAGTGCATGGCCCTGAACTCTGCCAGAATAGGAGAAAAATAGAATAATAGAATAGGATAGGATAGGATAGGATAGGATAGAATAGAATAGAATAGAATAGAATAGAATAGAATAGAATAGAATAGAATAGAATAGAATTTTGGCCAAGTGTGATTGGACACACAAAGAATTTGTCTTTGGTGTATATGCTCTCAGTGTACATAAGGAGAATAAAATGCATTCATCAAGAATAAAAAGATACAACACTGAAGTGACAGTCAAGGTTACTAATAAGCTATCAAATAGTACTAGGAAACAAATAAAAACAATATAAGTTGTAAAGATCCAAGCAACATGGATATCGTCATAAGTGGGAAGAGATAGATACTAGTAAGGAAGAGAAGATTAATAGTAGTGCAGACTTAGTGAATAGTTTGACAGTGTTGAGGGAATTATTTGTTGAGCAGAGTGATGGCGTTCGGGGAAAAAACTGTCCTTGTGTCTAGTTGTTCTGGTGTGCAGTGCTCTATAGCGTCGTTTTGAGGGTAGGAGTTGAAACAGTTGATGTCCAGGATGCGAGGGGTCCGTAGATATTTTCCCAGCCCTCTTTTTGACTCGTGCAGTAGACAGGTCCTCCATGGAAGGCAGGTTGGTAGCCGTTGTTTTTTCAGCAGTTCTAATGATCCTCTGAAGTCTCTGTCTGTCTTGTTGGGTTGCAGAGCCAAACCCAACAGTTATGGGGGTGCAGATGACAGACTCAGTAGTTCCTCTGTAGAACTGGATCAGGAACTCCTGGGGCAGTTTGAGCTTCCTGAGTTGGCGCAGAAAGAACATTCTCTGTTGTGTTTTTTTAGATGACGTTTCTGATGTTAGGGGTCCATTTTAAGTCTTGAGATATGATAGAACCTATTAATTATATTAAGGGACGCTGCCGCGGGTGAGGAAACTCCTGCCCGGGTTCTCCTGCCAATCGCCAATTCTTCCTTCCCCAGGAAGTGAAGGGTTACCAGAGGAAGACATGGAAGACGTTCCTCTGCCACTCGGTCTCCGTGCTCACTCTGGGGCTCCCCCTCGTCATCTTCCACTGGAAGCCGCACCTGGAGATCTACGCCAAATGCACGCCCTGCCCCTTGGGCCAGGCAGACTGGGTGCTCATCCGAGTAAGTGCCTGAAGGCAGAGCTGGGCAGGAGGGGCCCCAGCCGGCTTGGGCACTGCAACGGGCCCCTGGGCGGCCCCTGGAAGCTCCCATGGCTTTGGACCCATCTCCTCCTCTCCCCGGGGGTGGGCTTCAAAAACTTTAGCGAGGGGTTCTCTGCCCAGTTGCTGGGTGGGGGTGGCCATGGTGGGCGTGGCCTAGTCGGCCTCCTGCACCACAGTGGGGGAGGGGGGGCGTTTTTGTCCTTCCTGGGCTCTGGGGGCTTTCCTCAAGCTTCCGAGAGGGTGAAAACGGCCTCCCCAGGCTCCGGAGGCCCTCTGGAGGCTGGAAATGGCCCTGTTTCCGGCCTTTCCAAACTTCTGGTCGGCCCATTTTTCGCCCTCCCTGAGCCTTCACACATGCGCCCTGCACTTACCTGCATCCAAAACGGGCCGAGGGGGCTCCTGGATAGGGTTGGGCAGGATGAAATGGGTAGGGCCAGCCAGGAGTGGGATTTGGGGGGCCCTCCGAGCTGCACAGAATCTTAGCTAGAGGTTCTCCCGAACCCCTGAGAATCCCCACCCCTGCCTCTCTGCAAAGCCACTGGCTCTTCCCCGGGGAAGAGGCGCTTCTGCCCATCAGCTGTTCCCGCCCTCTTCTTCCAGGATCAGTCGGGACGGTGTTTCGCATCCAAGGTCCAAACAGAGCAGATCGAAGATGGCAGGTGAGCAGCCCTTCCCATGTATTTCCCTGATTGGCAGAAGGTGTTGAGGGGGCTGGGGGAGTACGTCGGTGGCTGCACCTGGAGTCAGCAGGGAGAAAGAGAGAGGTGCCTACTGCCAAGAGGGAGGCTGACCAGGTGCTCTGCGCAGGTAAGAGGAAAGATGGGGATGCAGACCTTAGTCTGGGTATCAGCAACCTATGGCTCCAGAGCCTCATGCGGCTCTTTGGGCCCTCTGTTGTGGCTCCCTGTCGGGAGATCCCACCACTGGCTGGCCCCACCCCTTGCCCTCCCCTCCCAGTCACTCCTCACCTGGCCTGAGAAGGTAAGGGCGGCGGCAAGTGTTGGAGAAGTGGCTGGGGCAGAGACAGAGAGATACAGAGAGAGGGAGAGGGAGGGAAGGAGGGAAAGAGTGAGATAGATGTCAATAGGGTTATGTGGTTCCCGGTGTTTTTTAACAACCGGTTCTCTGCCCTAATGACTGGGTAGGCGTGGCTAGGGGGGTCATGTGACTGGTGGAAGTGAGTGACGTTGAGTAGGCCACGCCCACCCAATTTTGTGTCTCCCGGTGTTTTCTTTTCTGTGAGAAACGGGTCCAAATGGCTCTTTTGAGTGTTTAAGGTTGCTTTAGTCAGATGCATCCATCTGCCCCTCACACCACCGGCACTTCCTCCTGACCTTCCTCACCAGCTCAGGGGCTCTTAAACAATAGGGGCCACCTTCCTGGTTTCCAAAACGCCTTGTCCTCTCCTCTCTCTTCCTGGGAAGCCTCGACTCCAGAACAGACGAGGGGAGGAGCGCTATCGCCGTGGGAGTTTCGGATGACCAAGCAAGAAGCCGGGACACCATACAGCTGCACCAGAAGGAAGAGGTCAGCACTCCAGGATGGGCGACCCTGGATCCATTCTGAGCAGCTCACCGATGGGGATCCCCTGACGAGGCTGTTCTGCAAAGGGGCACATCTCCCTGAAGGCAGGCAGGGTCCCAGTCCTTTGGGGCACAGACACCATCCCTGCCATGGCACAAAGCAGGCTGGGCAGAGGAAGCTCCTCCGGCCATGGCCAGCTGCTGCTGCTGCCGCCTCGGAGACCTTAACTCGTCCCCCTTTCCTCTCCTCTTCAGAAAAACGTCCTTCGCTATTACTCCTTCGAAGGCTTGCACTATCTCTGGGTGGAAAGACGGCAAGCCTACTGCAGGGCGAGGTGAGAAGTTCTCCCTGGGGGCTCTCTACAGGATGTGGGGCCTGGCCAGTCCTGGCTAGCCTAACCGGCCTCTGGACCTTTCGGATTTTAATCCGTCCAAGAAGAAATGCAACCCGCCCCTTTCTTCCTCTGTGTTTCTGCAGCACGTTGGATGAAGGCTGGACTTGTTCCGATCTCCACCTCTCCTGCCGCGGCCTGAGCATCCAAGAGCAATCTGCCAGGCACGTCCCGCCCTTTAGAGAAAGAGTATTTCCCTGCTTTAGCACCAGTGGTGGGATTCAAATAATTTAACGACTGGTTCTCTGCCCTAATGACCGACTGGGTGGGCGTGGCCATGGTGGGCGTGGCCATGCGGTGTGACAGGCAGCACTCGGCCTCCTGTACCCCCCATGGAGCAAAAATGGGCTGCGGGCGAGGGAATGCACTGCCCCCCCTGTGCACTGTTTTGGGCCTAGTAGGCCTCCCTGCAGCCTCTTGGGAGTGAAAACGCACTGTGGAGGGCCACTGGACCCCCCCACACCCTGTTTTGAACCTAATAGGCCTCCCTGCAGCCTCCTGGGAGCGAAAATGGGCTGCAAGGGGGGGGGGTTGCCACACACCCCTGCACCCCATTTTGGGTCTAGTAGGCCTCCCTGCACTTACCTGGGAGTTACATGGGGACTCCTGGAAGGGGCTGGGAGGGGAGTGGCCAGTCAGCAATTTAACTACCAGTTTGCACGAACCGGCACGAACCGTCTGAATCCCACCAATGTTTAGCACTGTAGTAAACCGATTTTTCTGGGGGGGGGGGGGGGGGGGACTTTTTTGGGGGGAAAAAAAGATCAGATCTTGCAAGGCCACTTTCTTTCATTCCCTTCTTGATTTCCACCTCAGTTAAAAGGAGAGTTGTGTCAGGCCTCATTAACGTCTCTCGGCCGAGCTGCACAAAATCCACCAGCCACTCCCAGAGGGGTCTCCTCTCGTTGGTGGCCTCACTCTTCCAGCACGGCTGTGGGGAACAGTTGGCTCCGAGGGGACTGGCATGGTCTCATCCCCTGCATCAGGCTTATAGAATGAGGCGTGGTGGCTCAGTGGTTTAAACGCAGTACTGCAGGCTAATTCTGTCGACTGCCAGAAGTTCGGCAGTTCAGTCCTGACTGGCTTAAAGTTGACTCAGCCTTCCATCCTTCCGAGATCGGTAAAATGAGGACCCAGATTGTTAGGGGGAGATATTCTGACTCTATAAGCCGCTTAGAGAGGACTGTAAAACACTGTGAAGCGGTATATAAGTCTAAGTGCTATTGCCATCAGGAAGTGTTACTGGGGTGTCAAGCCAGCCAACTTTTCACACCAAGCTCCGTAAGAGCTGGCTGTCGACTAGCAAATTCTCCCCCACACAGTCTTACATTTAAACTCTCTTTAGTACAAGAAACTAGCAGGAGGCTGATGGGGAGTCCATATTTTCTACGCTGAAGCTCTGATACCTGGCTAGCTAAAATGGGCTTTGGGGAATGGCTGCGGCTTTCCTAAAACTGTGTGCTCCTTGAACCCCTCCCTCCTTTGACAGAAAGGTGATTTACGGCCCAAACCTGATTGACGTGCCGGTGAAGTCATACCTCTGGCTGCTGATGGATGAGGTAAGCCAGCGGTTTGAGCAGGCAGGCTTAGCCTGTCTTCGGCAAAACGAGTGAGTGAGCAAGGAAGGGCCAGTCGCTGGGCTCTGCTCCTTGATCAGAAGAGCTTCTGCTTCTGTCTGGCTCTGAAACAGGGAGAACAGGAGCAATGATAAGGGATTAAACTCATATGCCATCTGAGTCTCAGCACCTCTGGTCGGCCCACATCAATCAAAGTCAGAAGTTACAAAGATTAAAAAATAAAAATAAAAGGAGCAACTGTGAACTCTTGGGCGCTAGGGCAAATTAGGATGCAGTATTGCAGGCTAATTCTGCTGACTGCCAGCAGTTCGATCCTGACCTGCTCAAGGTCGACTCAGCCTTCGATCCTTCCGAGGTCGGTAAAATGAGGACCCAGATTGTTGTAAGTGCTAAGTGCTATTTCGGTCTCTTTGGAAGGAGTTATTTCGTTCTGCAGAGAGGCAAGCGTGAGGCCCCTCTGCAGAACCTTCGAGGCAGGGAGGGAGGGGGATTCCTGGCTTCTCCTCTGAATCATAGGTCCTGTGGGAGCTCATTAGCTAAGGGAGGGGTGTCAGGGTTCTGATGGATGCCTTAATTAAATCATGAGTCTCAAGCCAAGCTTCAAAAGAAATCCATATTAGGACCTTCATGTCGGCACGTTCCAAGTGAAACCAACTCTGACCCCACATAATTTACGGCCCAATCTTGAACCTATTTCCCCCCTCCCCCAGGGTGTGTCATCAGTCACATTCACCAACGGAGCAATTTTGCGGGTTGTAGAAATCACTCCCCTCCGGCAGCTGTGGGTAACCCTGGGAGACAGCCTTGAGAGAGATATGTCTGGAATGTGCTTTCATTTTTGGCTGCTGTGCTGCTTCACCAGTTTCCCATCCCCCTTGCCTATGGCAACTCGAGAGCAGGCCAGGGATGCTTTGCGAGTTGACATTGGGAAGGCTCTTCAGATACCCGAAGAGTGAAGGCGGAAGTACCAATGAAGGGCTAAACGTACCCACTTCCTTTCCTCTCTTGCAGATCTTGAATTTATTCTACTTCTTCCAAGTGTTCAGCATCACCTTATGGATCTGTGAAGAATATTACTCCTACGCGGCCTGCATCTTTATCATTTCCACCATCTCCATCGGACTCTCTCTCTACGTCACCAAAAAGGTGCGCACTGGCCACAACTTTCCCCTTCCCCACTGAATTTGTGAATCCACCCTGCCAGTGGCGGGATGCTGCCGGTTTAACAACCGGTTTAGTGAAAGGTGCTTGCACGCAGCGCTGAAAATGGAGCATTTAGAAGCTCAGCTGCTTACCTTCCAAGTCAGCAACAGTAAGTAGAACAGCAAGGGGGGAGAATCAGCTGTGCTGCGTGATTGAGATGAACTACAAAGCAGGAAAAATAAAGGACAGGATAGAGTGGGTGCGGGGCCAATTGATCGTTGGAACTACCAGATCGCCCTACTACCGGTCTGAACCGGCTGAATACCATCTCTGCATCCTGCCCCTCAAGCCGATCACTACAGTGGGACAAGGGGCCGACAGTACCCCAGAGATGCCACACCACTATTGCTTAGCCCTTAACCAAGGCCTTGGTTCCTTTCAGCAAAACAGGACTCTCCGGGACATGGCAAAAGTGGTGAGCAGCGTGCAGATCTGCCGACCTTCTGGAGGTGAGCAATCATGTGGTGACCTCTTGGGCAGCAGCCTGGTGGATCTCAAGAGGAGCTCCAGCCTGAAGCTGGACTCTCCTTCTCAACTGGGTCATCCACCAGAACAGTTTCCCTCGTTCTGCATGTCATGGTATCTTTCTAGTAGATTGGGCTTCTTCCTTCCTGCCGCACACAGTCTTTGTTGGTTCCTTCTTGGGGGGGGAAGCAAGGAGAAGGCCCATTGAAGCAGCCTCTTGCTCCCGAGAGCAACAGCGAGGACACCTGCTCCCTCTAGACTATGGCGCCCAAACAGGGCAGTCAGATTCAGTTGTCCACTAATTGACAGCATCCTCCCTTCCAGGAGAAGCTGGAAAAGGGAGATGCCCCTCCAAGGTCAAAGAAGGCCTGGCACAATTCTCAACCCAATTCTTCCGGGGGCGGGATGGGAGGCACGGTCTGAGTTCCTTCCTTTCTTGGCTACCAGAGAGAGTGGTGGTGAGTTCCGTGGATCTCGTGCCAGGAGACGTCCTCGTGGTCTCTCCAGAGGGGATGCTGGTTCCCTGCGATGCCGCATTGCTGAACGGCGAGTGTGTGGTCAATGAAAGCCTTCTGACCGGTGAGCTGGGGGGAGGGGGGACATGGGTAGGGGGCCCCCAAGGCTGCTCATTGTTTTAAAGCCTCCATCAGCACCTGCCTGCCTGGATCCTCCACCAAATGCTTGACATGTTCCTGCTTGCGGAGACTTCAGTGGCACCCTGGCGCTGGCTGACGTGGCTGCTTTCAAGTGACGTGGCTGCTTTCAAGTTTTTCTTGGAGCTCCCCAACAAGCCGTCTGCTTTTTCCCAGGGGAGAGCACACCAGTCCTGAAGACCCCTTTGCCTAAAAGCCCGGAAGAGGCCAACACCACCTATTCCTCCGAAGATCACAAACGACACACCCTGTTCTGTGGGACACAAATCATCCAGGCTCGATCCCACGGAGATGCTGACATCCTGGCAGTTGTGACCCGCACTGGTGAGGGCATTTCAGGGAATTTCTTCTCTTCCCTGCCAGTATCGAGACTGTCCAATCTCCTACAGAGTCTGTTTGCCCTGCACCCCTGATCTCATGCCCAGCCTTGCTGTCTCCCTCCCTCCTCTCCCTCCAGGCTTCTACACAGCCAAAGGGGATCTCATCAGCTCCATCCTTCATCCCAAACCACTGAAGCTCAGATTTCATAACGATGCTTGGAAGTTTGTCACCTTCCTTGCCATCTTGGGTAAGTTCACACATGGTACTGAAAGCGGAAAAGGCACCCACTGTCTGTTGTGGCCCGTCAGCGGCCTGTGCAGCTAGTAGCTGATTCCGACAGCGAGGAGACTGGTGTGGTACTGTTTCAGCAGCCTGTGCAGCTGGCACTCGAGTCAGACAATGAGGAGGCTGGAGAAGATGTGGTAGGGGCTAGAGTTTTAGACCTGGGGAAAGAGACCATCCGCCAATGGGTTCAAAATGCTTCCATTAAGAATCTGGACCAGCTGAAGGTGCTTAACCACTATCATTCGTTTGAGCCAAAAAGTTCAGGGACGTATAAGTGGAGCCTTTTTTGGACAGGGCATAGTTACAGACGGTACTTGGGAACATTATCTCCTTCCCCAGCAGCCCATTGGGAGCTTGGCTGGCCCTCTGACATCTTTAGACAATTTGTTTCTGCTGGGGGTAGCCTTGTTGCATTAGTAGAAGCTGGAATGGAAATCATCGTTGGTCCCCAGCACATCCCATGTGGCCCCGAAACATGTCCTGCCTCTACGCAGCTGAGGAGCTGCTGGGCCCTGCCACCTCTGGCCACCTCTGTGCAATATATCCTGCCTGTGGGTCCTTGTCTACTTGGAGTCTCTGTGGTCGACCTCCTTCTGCAAGGCCTCTTCCGATAGTGCCGCCAACTTTGTCTCTCTCCTTGTGGGTTTGTGTGGGCTGCTCTGATGCTCACTCAGCCTTATTTGCTGGGGTTCAGGGGTGAAATCCAGCAGGTTCTGACAGGTTCTGGAGAACCGGTAGCGGAAATTTTAAGCAGTTCGGAGAACCGGCAGTGGAAATTTTGAGTAGTTCAGAGAACCGGCAAATACCACCTCTGGCTGGCCCTTCCCCTGGAGTGGGGTGGGAATGGAGATTTTGCACTATCCTTCCCCTGCCATGCCCACCAAGCCACACCACGTCCACCAAGCCACGCCCACAGAACCGGTAGTAAAAAAAATGGATTTCACCACTGCTGGGGTCCCAAAACTTTTATTCCTCTTTCCTCCAGCCGTCATTGGGACCATCTACAGTATCATCATCTTAAAGAGAAACAAGGTAGGTTCAGTGCCTGTGGGCCTCGGAGTCTCTCTCACCACTTTCCCCCTCTTCCCCGCCCCCCAGGTCTCCAGATGAGAACTACTCCAAAGGTCCTTTGCACTGGAACACACAGCCCTCACCTGTTGGGTGACAAAATTCCTTCAACTGGTGGCCTCTTTGGCCAGCCACTCATTGGGTCTCTCTTATTGGGGGCGCATGGAGTCAGTGTTGTGACCTAGACCTGAGTAGTTATTACCAGACACAATCAGTCCTAAACAAACATCTTTTATTAAAACAGCTGAGAATTACTTCATTCTCAGCTTAGCCCAAATTAATTCCAAAACAAATCCTTCAGAAAAAGTCCTTTGGCCTTATCACAAACCTTTGTCTTCTTTGCCCCCCTCCCCCACAAAGGTTTTTCTTGGCAAAGCCCCATGAAGTTCAGAAAACAAGAGACGCCAACAAGAAACAAATGTAGCACTGCTGCTTTCCTACAAAGAGCCCAAGAGCCTTTGCTGCTCTTTTAAGCCTTCTGGGAGGGGCCAATCATCTTCTGGCCTTACACCCGAGTCGTCCTTTTTGCTTTAGCTGCTCTTGCCTACTGCCAGCTCTGTGCATGCTGCACTAGGAACAGGCTCCTCCTGTTCCTCTGCCTCTCTGCTGTCCAACTCTGGAGGCTCCGGAGTCTGCGCATTGTTCCCAGATGGCCCTGGCCCCATCTCTGCCTCCAATGCAGAGCCCTCATCCGGGCCTTTCCCAGACTCCAGGACTGGCCCATGTTCCTCCCCAGCCTCCTAACTGTCCGACTCCACTGCCAGCTCCATGGGCTGCTGGTGCACCATAACAGTCAGCCTCAGATGGCAGCAGGTCTGGGTACAAGACAGGCTTAGAAAGATTGGGGCCATCTGACCTTCCCCCATATGGAAGTTTTGCCATTGAACATCACCAAGAATCTTAATGCAACCTCAGTTCCAATCTCCGTTGGCCTTCTGGGTAGCTGGGAAGCCATTGTGCCCACCTGTTTCTCACGCAGTCACCGTTGGCAGGTTTCCCGGTGGCTGATAGCCCTCCGTGCTTTGGACATTGTGACAGTGGCTGTTCCCCCAGCCTTGCCAGCTGCGATGACGATGGGCACCATGTACGCTCAAGGTCGGCTGAAACGCCAGGGCATTTTCTGTATCAGTCCCCAACGCATCGACCTCTGTGGAAAGGTGCGCCTGGTTTGCTTTGACAAGGTGAGACCCCGGGAAAGGTGCTGGGGTCCTGGGCTGCCTGTCCAAGGATCTTAGCCGACTCTTAATTGATTGAGGTTTCTTCCCAGACAGGGACCCTTACCGCTGACGGCATGGACATCTGGGGAGTTGTTCCCCAGGCTGGCAGCTCTTTCCTGCCCATCGTCCATGAGCTCCGTCGCCTGGCCGATGGGCCGCTGCTCCACTGTCTGGCCACCTGCCACACCCTCTCTTTGCTTGGAGATCAGCCTATAGGTGACCCGGTGGATCTCCGGATGCTGGAGTCTACTGGATGGGTGAGAAACATGCCTCTTTGCTTAGGGAACAAAGGATGCCATTTCCAGGATTCTCTTTGGCCACGTCCTCCTGTATGGTCAGAAATGAATGAAAAGGGAAGGGGGTGGTTCCCTTTCCAGAAGGGAGAAGAATCAGGGGTGAAATCCAGCAGGTTCTGACCAACCGGTAGCAGATATTTTGAGCAGTTAGGAGAACTGGCAGTGGAAATTTTGAGTAGTTTGGAGAACCGGCAAATACCACCTCTGGCTGGCCCCAGAGTGTGGTGGGAATGGAGATTTTGCAATATCCTTCCCCCAGGAATGGGGAGGGAATGGGGATTTTGCAATATCTTTCCCCTGGAGTGGGGAGGGAATGGGGATTTTGCAATATCCTTCCCCTGGAGTGGGGAGGGAATGGGGACTTTGCAATATCCTTCCCCTGGAGTGGGGAGGGAATGGGGACTTTGCAGTATCCTTCCCCTGGAGTGGAGTGGGAATGAAGATTTTGCAGTATTCTTCCCGAGGTCCCCAGAGGTCCAAGACCAGCGTCAGATGTGACTCCAATTCCAGTAACCGTCACTTTTAGTTGTTGTCTTTTCTGCTCATCTTTGCCATGCTAACCCTCGTTCCCCATGGTTGAGCTTTAAAGTGGGATCCATTCAAGGGGCAGCCATGTTTCTCACGGGACAAGGCGGCCCCTCCTTAGCCTCCTCTTTGCTTCTTGCAGTCTCTGGTAGAAACCGAAGGGCCAGAGGTGAAGGCCTGCCTGGAACAGGACTTTGGGACTGGAGCTCTGCTGGTCATAGCTCCCCCACTGCTGAGAGAGCAGCTCCCCGGCACGGTGAGGCTCTATCCTTCCTCATGGCAGGAGAGAGGGACGGGCTCACAGCCTTCCTCGTCAGAGGTTGAGCACAATGCAGAAAGAAACCTGGGCGAAGGAGGCTTGCGGAAGGGGTGGTATTCACTTACCTTCGCTACCGGTTCGCAAATGTGAGCACATGCGCCACCTCCGTGCACGCGCAGGACCTTCTGCGCATGCGCAGATTGTCAAAATTGGGACGTTATCAGGGGTGAAGTCCAGCAGGTTCTGACACGTTCTGAAGAACCGGTAGGAGAAATTTTGAGCAGTTCGGAGAACTGGTAAATACCACCTCTGGCTAGCCCTAGAGTGAGGAGGGAATGGGGATTTTGCAATATCCTTCCCCCAGGAGTGGGGTGGGAATGGAGATTTTGTAGTATCCTTCCCCTGGAGTGGAGTGGGGTGGGAATGGAGATTTTGCAGTATCCTTCTGCCAGGCCTACCAAGCTACACCATGCCCACCAAGCCATGCCCACAGAACCAGTAGTAAAAACATTTGGATTTCACCACTGGATGTGATGACGTCTGGGCGGGTGGGCGGAGCCTCCTGTAGCTGCTTCTACCAGTTCTCCCGAACCGGATAGAACTGGCTGAATACCACCACTGGTTTGCGAGGCATCCGGGAAAACCCCACTTCCTCTCACTCGTTTCACAAATTGTCCCCTTCTTCGGGGCTGCTTTCGGGAGCTCAGCTGTGGCCTCTTCTCCACAGAAGACCCCGGTCCCTATGGCTGTCCTCCGTCGCTTCCCGTTTTCTTCAGCTCTGCGGAGGATGAGTGTTCTGGGGAAGGCTCCCGGCAATAGCCCCGTGGAGGCTTTCATGAAGGGAGCTCCAGAGACGGTGGCCGGCCTCTGCAAGAAAGAATCAGGTCTTTGCTGAAGTCTCCTTTCGAGGACATATATGGGAGCAGAGGCAGTGGCGGGCTGCTGGGGGTTCGCAGGGGTTTGGGAGAACCTCTAGCTAAGGTTCTGTGCAGTTCGGAGAGTCCTCAAATCCCACTCCTGGCTGGCCCAGCCCACTCCTCCCCTCCCCGGAGTCCCCACGCGGCCCATTTTGGATGCAGGTAAGTTCAGGGCGCATGTGGAGGCTCAGGGACGGCTAAAAATGGGCCTACCGGAAATTTGGGCCCGTTTCCGGCCTCCAGAGACCTGAGAAAAACCTCCGGAGCCTGGGGAGGGCAAAAACACCTCTCTCTCTTGCCATGGTGCAGGAGGCCACGCCCAACATGGCCACGCCCACCCAGCACTGGGCACAGAACCCCTTGCTACAATTTTTGAAGCCCACCCCTCGACGGTTGGGGGGAGGGTCTTCCTCATGCTTTCTGACAGCGTGTCTTCCTCTTCTAAAGGCCGCTCTCTCCTTTTGCTTTGCAGTCCCCGAGGACTTTCCCCAGCAGCTGCAACAGTTGACAAGCAGCGGGTTCCGCGTTCTGGGCCTCGCTTATAAGCCCTTGGTGGCCGTGGGGAGCTTTGAAGAAGCCCAGGAGGTGACCAGGTGGGTGGACTCCAGATCGTTGCCCTTCTGTCCTGCCAGCCTGGCTTCCGGGTTTCTCCTTGGCAAACTCATCGTTTTCCTCTTTGGGTGAACTTCTTAGGAGACAATTGAGATAAAGGAGTCTTGACTTGGTATTCAAATACTGGTGGTATTTTGATGTCCAAGGGCATTAAGTGCAGGATGTCACAGAAGCCACATCGGTTGTTGCTCCTTGCTAGTACCTGGCCAGACATACAGTGGCATCCTCGAGCCTTCTGGCTATTAACGTTCTTATTACATGATGAAAAATCGATGGAGGAGGACACCTATCACATACCTGGATGGGTTGGGAAACAGCTGCAAAAATCCAGGAAGATTTTTTTCCTAGAGAAATTCACCAATGAATGGGGAGAAATGCAAAATTCTTCACTGTAATGAGACGGCAGAGATAAAATGAAAAGGCAGGATACCTGGGAAATGTAGAAAAGACGGTGGATTGACGTCATTGCAAGAAGAATACGAGCCAGCTTATAATAATATTTATATTATTAAAGACGTTGCAACCAATGGATGAAGAGTGAACAGCCCTTCTCTGGGTGCACTTGGGCAGAGGCTGGGCAGAGGGGATTTTGGCACAGAGCAGGGAAGTCTCTCAATGACACCATGGGTCCTGGCAAGGCCCGCTGATGGATGCTTCCTCCTTGGACAGAGACTGGGTAGAGACGGACATGGTCTTCCTTGGGTTCCTAGTCCTCAAGAACGTCCTCAAGCCCGAGACAGCACCGGTCATCCGTGTGCTGCGCAGTGCAGGGATCCAAACCGTTATGGTCACAGGTGAGAAAAACGGGGAAGGGGCCGGGAAGGCTGGGGAGAAGAGAGGAGAGGATTCTCTTCTGGCTGCAAGACTTTGAACGGTGGGAGGGATGTCGGTGGCTTCTAGCCAGAGGTGGGTTTCACATATTTTTACCACCGGTTCGCTGTGCACACACACGCTCGCTTCGCGCACGCACCTTCCACACATATACCCGGCCTTCCGTGCATATGCTTTGCTCGTGCGTGCACCTTCTGCGCGTGTACCCAGCCTCCAAAACGTGGTTAAATTGGACGGCATAGTGCAGGGACGATTGCCGCCGCTGGTTCGCTCAAACAGTCCAAACCGGCTGAATATCACCACTTCTAGCCTGAGGATGGACTGTTGGGCTCATGTCTCCTTTTGCTCTTTCGGCCTCAGGAGACAACATGCTCACTGCAGTCAACGTGGCGAGGAGCTGCCAAATGGTGGCGGCGCAGGAGCGCGTGGTGTTCGTGAACGCTGCACCTCCCAGCCGCGGCAAGGTAGCTGCCCTCACCTTCACTCCTTCAGAGCAGGTCAAGGTGAGATCTCTTCCTGGATGAACCCCCTCCGTGACCACAGTTGGCTGAGGGGCTCTTTCGGGGAAGGGTCAGGCTGTCATGGCTGCATCTCTGCTATCGAAGCTTCATGAGCTGACAGCCTGACATTAGTAATGGTGTGTGTGTGGGGGGGGGAGATTGGAATGTAAGGAAGAAGGGGGGGATGGAAGTCCAGCGGAGCCTTGTGAGAAGCTACAGCCAGCCAAGGTCAAGTAGCGAGATGCAGAGCTGGGAACTGAGAGCCTGTTTCATAAACAATATAGGTAAAGGTAAAGGTTCCCCTCCCACATACTTGCTAGTCGTTCCCGACTCTACACAGCATTACGTGGTGCTAGGGATTCGAACCGCTGAACTGCCAACTTTTCTGATTGACAAGCTCAGCGTCTTAGCCACTGAGCCACTGCGTCCCCATCCTAAACAATATACAAGCACCTAATTGGACATTTACAAATAGCCGGGAGGTGGGGAGGAGGAGAGGGGGAAGAGGAAAACTTCAGATTCAGTGTACACTACTTCTGTAACCATTTAAGCATCAGTAAAGTATACTCTTGACAAAAACAAATGGCCAGGGGTCTTCGTTTGCTAGATGACTGAGTGGGACGCTTGAGAGTCTTCCCGTTGCAATCCCGGTCATCTGAATGGACCGTCAACCACGATGGGTCATGCCCAGCCATAGCTAGTGCTTCCTTCCAGATAAAAGCGGGAGGTGTCCACTGTAATATGAGGGAGGGAGGAAGGGTGAAGAGAAAACCCTACCAAAACCAGGTTCCTGCTGATGCAGGATGCCAAGCATGGATGAAAAATCCAGTTGGCTACGGGACTGTTTCACAGGATGTGCACCAGCAAGAAAGCGACTTCCCAGAACAGCTGCCGTGCTCCTTTGCCTTGAACGGGAAATCCTTTGCTGTCCTCTGCGAGTGCTTCCCAGCCCTCCTGCCCAAGGTAACACCGTGGGGGACAGGAACTGGTTCACTTGTCTCTGGTCTCTTCAGACCAGTCGTCCCTTCTTGCGGGACGTGCCTGTTCCTGGTCTTCTCCCAGGGTTCTCGTGACCAGCCTGCCTTCTGACATTGGGCTGATGGGAGAGTTGAGCTAAGCCTCCACCTGGCACCTGAGCAGAGGCAGAACGGCGATCATGCCTCTCGGCTCCTCCTGGAAGTGTCTTTCTCAGTGGCGGCAACAACTCCTGATCATCCAAGATGCGACGGCACAGCTCACGCTCCCCTTCTTGATGTCCTTTGCAGATATTAGTCCAAACCACTATTTTCGCACAGATGTTACCTGATCAGAAAACTCGCCTGGTTGAGCATTTGCAACGTTTAAAGTAAGTATGGGGGCTGGAGGCAAGATTTCCCCACATCCCTCTGATGGGTGGGAGAGCAAAAGTGTGTATGTGTGTGTGTGTGTGTGTGTAATCATGGGAAGGATCTGATCCCGAACAAGCCCCCTCTTGTGAACCTAAAGCCTGGCAGCTTCAAAGCCAAAGGGAGGCCTTGGCCTGTGAGATTGAGAATAGCCAGCACCAGTGTTGCATTTGGAGAGAACGGGAAGGCAGAAGTTAAAGTAAGCTGCATGAGTTACACCCTTTCCTGAACCGGCAATCCCTACTCACAGTAACTCCTGCCTTAGTCACTTCCCGTCTTGACTATTGAAACACGCTCTACATGGGGCTGCCCTTGAAGAGCATCCGGAAGCTCCGGTTGGTGCAAAATGCAGCTGCCCACATGGTTTTGTGCAGACCCCAGTGTACACATGTATTACCCCTCCTGCGGGAGCTGCATTGGCTGCCGATTTGGTTCCAGGTGCAATTCAAGGTACTGGTTGTCACCTTTAAAGCCCTTCATGGCTTGGGATCAGATTATTTTAGGGACCGTCTCTTGACGGTCACATCTACCCGACCCATTAAAGCAGGGAGGCAGGGAATGCTGCGGGTCCCATCCCCAAGGGAGATACACCTGGTGGGACCCAGAAGAAGGGCCTCCTCCGTGGTGGCTCCCTCTCTCTGGAACATCATCCTCCCCAGAGATTAGAACGGCCCCTACTCTAATTCTCTTTCGGAAGGCGCTGAAGACCTGGTTCTGCCAGCGGGCCTGGGGAACCCAGAGAGGGATGGAGCCATGAAATGGCTCGTGTGATCGGCTATCGCCGGGGCGTGAGGTTGGGGGGTGATTTTATTACATTAATTTATTTGATATTTTATTAGTTTTTACTGTTTTTAAATGTGTTTTTTATATTCTGTAAGCCGCCTTGAGTCGCCATGGGCAAATAGGCGGTAATATAAATTTAATAAATAAATAAATAAATAAATAATAAATGAGCTGGAGGTTGTGGGCTGAAAGATACTAACTGTACTCAAGACCAGCTCCCCCCATTCCCTTTTTTGAAGAAAAAAAGCAAGGTGGGTGGGAATCAGTCTTCCACTTTAGGGAACGATTTGCCTGTGTTGCCTACAGCTACTGTGTGGCCATGTGTGGAGACGGGGCCAACGACTGTGGGGCTCTGAAGGCAGCCGACGTGGGCATCTCGCTCTCCGAAGCAGAGGCCTCGGCCGCAGCACCGTTCACTTCCCAGAGGGCCAATATCGAGTGCGTCCCCATCACCATTAGGTAGGTGGGATGAAGCCAGCTCTTTGAGAGACGCCGGTGGCGGAATCTTCGGCCTCCTTTCTCCCATCCAGGTTCTCCTCTTCCTGGAGAGGCCGGGAGTCTTGCTGACACCTTTGGGAGAGGGACATTCAAATCCTGCCCCCTTTTGCAACAAGCTATGTTGACCATGTCAGGGACACGGCGGCACAGTGGCTAAGACGCTGAGCTTGTCGATTGAAAGGTCGGCGGTTCGAATCCCTAGTGCTGCGTATAATGGGGTGAGCTCCCGTTCCTTGTCCCACCTTCTGCCGAACTAGCAGTTCGAAAGCACGTAAGAAAATGCAAGTAGAAAAAATAGGGACCACCTTTGGTGGAAAGGGAACAGCGTTCCTGTTGCTTTTGGCATTTAGACATGCCAGCCACATGACCACGGAGATGTCTTTGGACGGTGCTGGCTCTTCGGCTTTGAAATGGAAATGAGCACTGTGCCCTAGAGTCAGGAACGACTAGCACATATGTGCGAGGGGAACCTTTATCTTTTATGTTGACCATCTCCCAGCCTTCAAGCACCTGGCTAAGCAACGGAAGTTCTCTCCGTCAGGAATCCAGGCTTAACTTTTCCCCTCTGTCAAATCTGTCCAAGTTTCCATTCCAAGAATGGCAGCTTGGGGTGGAGTTTCAACTGTTTTGATCCTAGATGAACCCATTCCCCAACTCCCAGAAGGATGACCGTCTGTTTCTCCCCTTTAGGGAAGGAAGATGCTCTTTGGTCACCTCCTTTGGCCTCTTCAAATACATGGCATTCTACAGCCTCACGCAATTCGTTTCCGTGCTCCTGTTGTACACGGTAAGGCGGCCATTTTCCTTCTCTGCCCTTTTGGCTCTCGGAGAATCTCGAAGCCCAGGTGAAAGTTTGCAAGCAGCGAAATCTAGAAACCCGAGCACCAGGCGTGGGGTTTGCCCAAGGGATGGCATCAGGTACGGGAACTACATAAAGCGACACCCAAGTAAAAACAAAATGCATGACGGCAACCAACAGAGAAGCTTAAAAAGGGGGCTTAAATTAGCGGCTTCTGAACGGGAACAGAAATAGCCATGTGCAAAAGAGCTGCAGGAACCAGAACCTCCACTGAGCCCCGGAAGGAAAAAACAAACTGATTCACCCAACGTGCTAGAAGTGTGATGGTGAACCTTTTTGGCACCAAGTGCCGAAAAGGTTGCATGGAAACATTGCACGCATGCACTTGCACTCGTCGGGGCTGCGCTCTGGAAAAGCCGAACGTCCGGGTTCTAGTGTGCATGCATGCCAGACGATCAGCTGGCCGGCGTGCGTGCGCAGGCCGGTTTTCGGCACTGTCACGTATGCAAAGGGATTGCATTGTGGAAAAGCCAAACTTCCAGGTTCTAGCACGCATACACAGCCGACGATCAGCTGTCTGGCACGCATGCACAGGCTGGTTTTTGGCACTGCTGCACACGAGGACAGCTGATCAGTGTGCACATGCACACCAGAAACCTGGAAGACAAACAGGCAAGGCGTGCTGGGCAAATGGCTTTGTGTGCCACTTTGGGCACGCGTGCCATAGGTTTGCCATCATGACACTAGAACAAGGGAGGCCTGAATTGGAACTTCTGGCAAGGATCAGAAGGACCTCCTGGCTGGGATGACCCTAGACCGGAGGAGGCTCCTGCTTCTTGGCAGAACCCCAAGTGGGGGGAAGGTGACGCAAGTCAACGAGCAGGGCTTCCCAGGCATCCGAGACTCTGAGGAGGCTCTGCCCTCCTCAGCAGGGCGGCCATTGCATCTCTCCGTTTCTTCTGTCCTTCCCTCCTTCTCTCCCCCTCGTCTAGCTCAACACCAACCTGAGCGATGGGCAGTTCCTGTTCATCGACCTCATCATCACCACCACTATGGTGGCTCTCATGGGCAAGACGGAGCCTGCCGAGGACTTGGGCCTCAAGCGCCCACAAGGAGCCCTGATCAGCCTTGCCGTCCTAGGCAGCCTTTGCCTCCAAACAGCTCTCATCATCGCAGTCCTGGTCATCATCTACTTCATCACCGTATCTCAGCAGTGGTGAGCGAGGAGAGAGAGAGAGGAAGGCCAGCAGCTGAATCTCTCTGGCTGCTTTTGCTCGGGCCCTGCGGAGGCCAGCTAGCTCAGCCTGCTGTGGGTCGGCCTTTCTTCCGACCTCTGCAATCGGGGGGGGGATGGGCAGGGTTGCCACCTACCCAGACTCAGCTACCTGCCCGCTTTCTTCTCAGGTTCACCCCTCTGAACAGCACTCTGTCAGCCCCTGCAAACCTCCCCAATTATGAGAACACCGTCATCTTCTGCACCTCGGGGTTCCAGTACCTCATCCTGGCAGTGGTCGTGTCCAAAGGCCGCCCTTTCCGTAAACCGCTTTATACTAACGGTAAGTGCTTCTGTTCAGCAAACCCTGGAGGCCCAGGATGAGTCAGGCCTGTTTCTCCTGTCTGGCCCCGCCAAAGCCTCGTCTCTGTCTTGCTCTTCAGTGCCGTTTTTGATGGCCTTACTCTTGCTCACCGGTGTCATGATCTGGCTGACCATCTACCCGCTGACCTTCATGCAAAAGCTCTTGCGTCTGAAGAGCGCCGGCGACCTGAGCTTCAAAGTGATCTTGCTGGGAATGGCTGCTCTCCACTTCTTCACGGCTTTTGTACTGGAGGTAACGAAGGACCAATGTAGTTGGGAAAGCAGACTTTGTTGTCCAGGGCAGTGGAAGCAGTTCATCATTGCCTGTCTTCTGTGAAGGCCAAGCCAAGACCCGTTTTTTTTTTCCTCTGGCTGGGCCAGACTTGGCTTGGGAAAATGGGACTGTTGAGCGGCTGAGCGGCAGGGGGAGGAAAGCGAACGGCGGTGGAGCATCTGTCCATGGAGCATCAGGCTGCTGCTGTTGCTAGCCACAGTGGCTCCAGGTGTCACCCATTCCCGGTCTGCTTCTTCCATAGGTGGGCCTGGACCACGGCCTGCTGAACGGCTTCCGGAAGCTGCGACGCAAGAAGGCATCAAAAAAACTGTACAAGCAGCTGCAGTGGGAGCTCAGCCAGGAGAAGAGCTCGTGGCCGCCTCTCCACGCACCTGTCTTCGCCCCCACCAGAATCCCCCCCGCTGCAAGATGACGCTAGTCGGCGACTTTCTAGCTGGAGGAAAAGCCCGCTGGGTCTCTGCTGAGGTTCCTTTTTGGATCTAGCTCCATCCTCTGCTGGGATCCTCCGTCGACTGATAGAGGCAACTCTGAGACTCCGATAGCGGAGTTGCTGTGCTACAGAAGAATCCATCTTCACCAGCCTCTCGGTTGAAGCCACGGGAAGCACCCGAGATTTCTGGCCACTCTGGGGGGCGGTGGGGGGGTGTTGTGTCTTCCTTGAATCCCCTCCTCCTCAAGCAGGCTTTTTTTTTTCCTTAACCACATGCTGGCTAAGAGAAAGCCGCCGGAGACCTCCCTTTATCCAAGGCGAGAACAATCTCCCCTTTACTGCTGGACAGGGAATTTCAGCAGGTGCAGAACTTGTCCCACATCAGAACTTCAAGCCAGAGGAAGATAAAGGCTGTCTCCAAGGGCTTGCTCCCTGGCCAGTCTGGGAATCAAGTTCCCTTCCACAGAGGAGGTCTACTTTCCACTGCAAAGAGATCTGCTCTACTCTGCCTGGGTTCCTCTGGCTGCCATTTCTAGTTGTTAAGGATTCTTCATCAGCTTCTTATGGATGGGCAGCCTTGGGGGGATGGCTGCTGTAACCCACTACCACCCTAACTGAAAAAAGGGAGCCCATGCAAGAGAGGGCCAGAAAGAGCTGGGCCATTCGGTCTGTTTTGCTTTGGCTACCCTGTTTCCCCCAAAATAAAACATCCCCTGATAATAAGCCCAATCGGGCTTTTGAGTGCATGGTAATAAGGCCAAGCGCTTATTTCAGGGTTCAAAAAAATATAAGACAGGGTCTTATTTTCGGGGAAACACGGTAGTATTTTCGTGTGTGTGTGTCTTTGTGTGTAAATGTATATATGTATATAGATAGTCCTCAACTTAACTCCACAACTGAGCCCAAAGTTTATGTTGCTAAGTGAGAAATTCATTAAGTGAGTTTTGCTCCCCCCCCTTTTTATGACTTTTCTTGCCACAGTTGTTAAGTGAATCACTGAAGTTCTTAAATCAGTAACACTGTTACTGTTAAGAGAATCTGGCTTCCGCGCTGACTTTGCTTATCAGAAGGTCGCGAAAGGGGATCACGTTTCACACACACACACCCATCTGCGACGGACACTGCGACCGTCATAAACAGGAACCTTTTGCCAAGCATCCGAATATAAATCACATGACCACGGGGATGCTCTGTGGTGGTCGTTAAGTGTGAAAAATGGTCGTAAGTCACTTTTTTTCAGTGCCATTGTAACTTCAGTCACTAAGCAAACTGTCGTAAGTTGAGGACTGCCTGTATATGTATACATATGTATATGTATGTATGTATATATATTTGCCAGTTTCTTCTTAATATTAGCAATCATGTTTAGTTAATTGGCTATTCAGAAGGGCTTAAGGTAAAGGTAAAGGTTCCCCTCGCACATATGTGCTAATCGTTCCCGACTCTAGGGGGCGGTGCTACACTCCGTTTCAAAGCCGAAGAGCCAGCACTGTCCGAAGATGTCTCCGTGGTCCTGTGGCCGACATGACTCAACGCCAAAGGCGCACGGAACGCTGTTCCCTTCCCACCAAAGGTGGTCCCTATTTTTCTACTTGCATTTTTTTTTAATGTGCTTTCGAACTGCTAGGTTGACAGAAGCTGGGACAAGTCACGGGAGCTCACCCCGCTAACGCAGCGCTAGGGATTCGAACCGCCGAACTGCCGACCTTTCGATCGACAAGCTCAGCCTCTTAGCCACTGTGTCACCGCATCCCTTAAGGCAGAAGGGCTTACTACGGAACAATTAACCATCACAGAAGCAATAATGTATTAAATGAGTAACTTTGTATGAAGAAGGTCTGGGACGAACATGGGATGGGGGGAAATGCCAAGGAGAGGCAGGACACCCATTTAAAAGGTGGCCTGGGCAAGAGGCAGGTGAGAAGAGGGCTGTCCCGGGTCTTGCAAGCAGAGAGTCTTTTGGTCCAGGCAGCCCCGTTCTCGAAGCGATCCTGAAAAAAAGACAGCTGTGGGCCTTGCTGGAGCCGCTCTCTGCCCCTAAGAGAAGAACAGCTGAGAAATGGACTGGAAGCGCCCATCGGCAGAGCCGAAGCCAATCGGTAGTTCCCACGCACCTTCCATAGGCCCCCCCGTGTCTGCATTCCCAGTGGCGGTGGAGAAACTGGCCAGAGAAAGAAACGGCAGCTTGTTTGAATCCTTCCACCGCGGCGCGCCACCTCTAACAGGAGCCTCCCAAGGAGATCCTTTCTGCCTGTCTCAGATGATGATGGTAGACTGCCTCTAAACCTGGAGGCTTTGAGGATCACCTCCTGTCCAAAAGCCGTGGAAGGAGCTGGCCAGTTCCCTCCTTCTCCGCAAGCCAAAGAGTGCATCGCACTAGGGAGTCCCGGCAAACAGTGGGATCGCTGTAATACTCCGCCGTGGACCCTTGAAACAAAACCCCCCTGGTGGAACGACACAGGTGTGTGCCAGTTTCCCCGTAAGCATGGCTTCGGCGCTGCAGCTGCAGCCTGGGGGAACAAACACCTCTGGAAAAAAGTTCAGTCCTTGAGAGAAGTTGGCATTAGGACCCGGGAGAGAGGCTGCGGTGGTGGAGGCCTGGCTCCTTCAGCCTCTTTGGAAAGCAAGACCCAGGCGAGGAGGAGAGAGCAAAGTCAGCCGCTGGAGAGGGAGAAAGACCCCCAAGTTTGGTAAGTGGTTGAGGGGCGCCACGGGCCGTGGGGGGGAGGCAGAAAAGGGGCGCTTCACGGTCAGCACTTGCAAAGGAATGCAAGTGGACGCTCCTTTGGAGCTGCCCTTTTTTTCTTCCATGCAGGGAAAGGCTTACCTTTCAAAGAAACTTCTTTGAAAAGCCCCCAGCCCCTTCTCCTCCTCCTCCCGCTCCCCCTTTTCAATGCCAGGGCAAAAATCCCCAAAGAAAGGTTTAACAAAAGATTAAAAGAATTTTTTGCCTGGCAACTAAAGTTGGCTTGGTAGGAAGCCCCCCCTCCCCCTCATTCCCTGAAGTCTGGACTTCAATGGGGGGGGGGTGTCCCTTTTTTAGGAAGTTGACTTGACCGGTGGTCTCACTCTTGTTTGGGAACAGAGGGGGAGGGGGCTGTTGCTTCAACATCCCTGAATTTGACCATTCAATCCTTGCGGCCAGAAGGAGGGGATCCCCTTTTGTTCTCCTGCATGTACAAAGGGGGGAGGGGGGGTGAGTGAGTGAGTCGGTGGGTGGGATGGGGAGGTGGAGTTGTGGAGGGCTGCCGGCCATTCTTGGCTTTGCAAAAAGCTGTCTGATTGCTCCCAGATGTGCATCTGGTTTCTCTAAAGCCTCCTGCATCTGAGACCCTTCCCCCTCGCACCTCCGCTGCTGAGCACAAGAAGGGAAGCCAAGAGGGGGGGCACTCAGGAAAAGGGGGAACTGGGGCCTTGGGGCAGCCTGGCCCTACCTCCACCCCCCCCTCCCCATCAGCAGCACGTTCCCCACGCCTACCTGGTCTGGCAGAAAAGCTGAGCCAACCTGAGCTTCTCTGGACCGCTTTTCTGAGCCTGAAAGCTTTTACGGGCTATCCTTACCTCGGACTCCTCTTGTGCTGGAGAGAACTGGCTAGTACACCGGGCAAAAGCTTTCTGCTGCAGTGGGAAACAGGACAGCGCCGTGGAAACTTTGCTCAGGCACCCGGCGGGATCTGCTCCTGGATCGCTCTCTTAAACTCTGCGGCGAGAAGCAAGTGTGTCGTCGCTTGGCCTGAAGCGGCCGAGTCCTCTTATTATTTTTCCGCCCAACTTTCCCTCGCCACTCAGGGTTGGGCACGGAAAAATCCCAGCAGGTAAGGGGTGGGTGGGAAGGATGCTTTGATCTTTGGAGATCAGCTGGAAGCAGCATTCTCGTCCCACCCCTCATTGGAAGAGACCAAGAAGGTTGGGTTAGCCGTAGGGGTTCAAAAGACGCCTGTGAAGATGCAGCGATGGGGGAAAGAGATCCCAGCATCCTTGCTGGGAGAATCTGGCCTGTGGTAAGAATGGGGTGTTTAGAGGCTACCCCGGGCAGTTCGACGCAGAGGTCCACTAATTGAGCCTTACCGGAAACATCGCAAACTAGTGGTGGAATTCAAAATTTTTTACTACTGGTTCTGTGGGCGTGGCTTGGTGGGCGTGGTGGGGAAGGATAGTGCAAAATCTCCGTTCCCTCACCACTCCGAGAAGGATACTGCAAAATCCCCATTCCCATCCCACTCGGGGGCCAGCCAGAGGTGGTATTTGCTGATTCTCTGAACTACTTAAAATTTCCGCTACCAGTTCTTCAGAACCTGCTGAATAGCACCCCTGTTGCAAATCCTGCCTCTCTCCCCACACATTCTAACAGTGAAAGCTTGGGAACCAGACCAAGATTGTTTCTGGGTCGACACCGCAACTTTTTAAAGGCTATAGGGGTGTTTCTGTCTGTGTGTGACAGTTCTTCCTTCCAATCTAACAAATGTCCTGTGTCTTTTAGCTCGGCTCCAATTCAGCTGCCTCTGTAGCTCCGCAGACAAGCATGAGGACTCTTCTGGCCCTTCTCCTCCTCTGCCTGCCAGGTGAGCGGCATAGCTGGGTTCCCGGTCACCTCCCGTCTTCTGCCCAGAGCTCCTCAGCTCTCCTCTTTCCCAAGTGCTTGGGGAGGGCGGGGGGGGGGGGGGGGGGCAAAGGGGTCCCTTGCACATACAAGGCAAGGGGCCCACAGAAAGGGATGCCCAACTTTCGTCCGTGTCACTTAGCAAGAACCCCCTCCCCCGCCGGGCAAGAAGCGTGAAAGGGGAAGAAGGCCCATCCGCGGCGGCTCTCCGAGTCGATAGTGCTGGGAAGGGCCCCACCTGGGCAGATGCGCGGCCACCCTGAAATAGCCGGCCTCAGTTTCTTCCTCCTCTCCTCCCTTCTCAGCAGCACTTCTGGCTCAGGGGCAGTATGACCTCGATGACCCCGCCTACCCCGAGCCCCCGTATGCCCCTTACGAAATTGGTGAGTACCAGCAAGGGTCCAGAGGCCCCTGTCCGGCTAGCCATAGTCGATCCTGATCAGAGGGTGGACCCCGCTCTCTTACAGGAGCTTGATATACCCTCTGGCCTCTCTCTTCCTTGTTTTCAGAGAGTCAAGATTATTACGATTACGCCGGGAATGGTGAGTCTGTCCGGAAGGCCAAACCTGGCACAGCCCACCTGCCTGCCTCGTAAAGCAGCCGTCCTCAACCTTTCTGGACTGGCGGCCCAGTGGGGTGTATGTATGTGTGTGTGTAAGTGGGGATAGTTCCTCTTGAGTGGTTGGTGGGCGCTTTGCTCGAGGGGAGCTTCGCACACGCGCTCACACACACATGCCACTTGTGCCTCCCGGTTCTGAACAGGTCGCGGCCCAGTAGTGGGCTACAGCCTAGGGGTTGTGGACTCCTATGGCAAAGGGCTTGGCTAAAGCAAGTACCCTCCCTCTTCCTCTGCCCTGCAGATCTGTCCCCCCAAACTCCAGAGGAGCACTTCCAGTCCCAGCAACAGAACCAGCAGGAGGTCATTCCCGCCCCAACCCCAGGTGAGGAGCCCGTGGGGCGGGGTGGGAGGAGGCTGTCGGAAGGGAGCTCCTCCCTGCTCTGATTTCCTGACTCTGCCCAGCTGCTTCCTCCGTGCACACACCCTCTCCATGCTCCCAGTTACTCATACCTTGCTCCTATCTGGGCTTTTTTCCCCTTCCCTTAGACATTTCTGAGACGGAGCCCACTGAACCGGGGCCCCTTGGTAAGAGATTCGCCAGCTCTGAAATCAGTCCCTCTTCCTGAGGTCTGCAACAAACAAGTTGGTTTCGGTGCCGCCGGGTTCCTTCCTCTTGTCACAGAGGCGGCGGCTACTGCTCCCGGGCCTACGCGGCTGGGGAGAGGGCGGGTGCAAAGCAAGCTAAAGATTCTTGGGACTGAATGGAGACACCCCCCCTTCCCTGTCTTGTTCTTGGGTCTCCAGACTGCCAGGAGGAGCAGTACCCCTGCACCAGGCTGTATTCCATTTACAAGCCTTGCAAACAGTGTCTGAATGAGATCTGCTTCTACAGGTGAGGGGCTGCAATTGGATCAGGACCAAACCTATCCCCCCACCCGCTCACTCACACACCCCCGGCGGAGCATTCTACCACAAGCTTCTCTCCCCACGGCAGGCGAGGTTCCCATGTAGACTTTGGAGGGTGCTGGTGTGTTTGCAATGTCCCTGCAGGAAACGCTGCAGCCGATCCTACGGAAAGCTTTGCAGGCGGGAGAGGGGAGGGAGGCTGCCTGCCGATTCAGGCGCACCAGTGGGGGGGGGGGGGGGGGGGGGGGGGCATGTTTTAATGCAGCTTCCAGGCTTCCTTCCAGCGGAGGGTCGGTCGTGGTGAGGTGGTGTGGAAAGGGAGACATTGTCTGGCCTTTTCCGCTTTCAGCCTCCGTAGGGTCTACGTGATCAATAAGGAGATCTGCGTCCGTACGGTTTGCGCTCATGAAGAACTCCTAAGAGGTACGCACAAAGATGGAAGGGGCCTTTGGGCCCACCGGTCGCGAAGGTTACAGGGGCAGCCGTTTCAGGACACTGCTTCCCAGCAGCAGTTGGGGACAGCTTTGCCTAAAACTTGGGGGACGGGTCTGTGTCTGTGTCTGTGTGTGTGTATGGAGAAGGAAATGTGGGGATTCTAACTCCTGATGGTGGCTCCCCTCCTGCCTCTCTCCCCCCTCAGCCGACCTCTGTCGCGACAGATTCTCCAAGTGCGGCATCATGGCGACCAGCGGCCTTTGCCAGACTATGGCCACCTCTTGTGCTCGGAGTTGTGGCGGCTGCTGAGCGGGGAAAGGGGTCGTGGCAGTGGACGGGAGGCGCTTCTGGACCACGGATGATGCCCCTGGTTCGTGCCCAGAGGAACAGCGGCCCTTCTTGGCCCCCTTCCCCGCCGTGGCAGTGACACACCTGCAGGGCTGCTCAGGCAGGACACGGCAGGAGTCTCTCAACAGGGACCCAACCTCGTCCCTCCAGAAATGCCGACCGTCACATGAGCTACCAGTTGGGTTTATTGTCTTGTAATTGCAAGTTATATTTTTTTGTACGGACCGTTCTTCCCCCCCACCCCTTTTTCTACAAAACGATTTAAAAAATAAATAGACCAAACATGTTACAATTTGATTCATTTAAGTCCATTTTTTTTCTGGCAGGAGATGGTGGAGCTACGGGACCCCCTCCTCTCTGGGTTTTCACGACCCTTCCAAATAGAATTGGGGGGGGGGAATAAGGGGGGAAACGCTCAAGTCTTTCATTACAAACTATTCCCCGTCTACATAATGAGGACCAGGAGCAAAGCCTGGAAAACCAACAATTCCGCGGATATAAAAAAAAAAATATGACTTTCTACTTTCCTTGATTGGCTGCTACATAAAGAGCCCCGACAGAGAAAAATACACACCTGATTAGGATCTACGGTTAAATTTTTTAAAAAAATCCTTGGTTGAGGAGCTCCAATGCCCTTCGGCCCATCCTGGGACACAAACGCTGCTCCCGGCAATGGAGGGTGGGGGACTCTCTCTCCCCGGCCAAAGACCAGGCCAGGACCCGCTCAGATACCCCTCGTTCTCCACCAGGGAAGGAATGGAGCCTTCTGGCACCAGTCCGGCATGGATTGCCGCTTGTTTCCACCGGGGGCTTTTTTTCAGTCATCTTTATGGGGAACAAATTCTCCTTCTCATTCAGTTTGGATCCGAGAAGTAACAAAACTGTTCAGACAACCGAGGCCTTAGGGGGGGGGGGAAAAGGAGTAGTTCGCACTACCTTACGCCGCGTGTGAATCTGAAGGATTGGAGGTCAGTGGCCCCTCTTGCCATGGCACTCTTTTAGAGACGTGGGACTCGGCTCCCTCTGCATGTCTGCCGCCACAGCTAGTGTCCGGAAAAGAGAGGGGAAGCCGGGAAATAAAGCTGCCCCTTCTGGGTGTCTTGCTGCAGCTGCTCCTTCAGAGTCGAAATCTGAGTGGGTAGGGGGAGAAAGGCCTCTTCAGTATCCAGGCGAGGGGGTCCAGGGGCAGCAGCACCGCAGCTGGGCCAGAGTCCCCAAGAGGGAGGCAGCTCACCTGCTCTCCCAGCCCTTTGCTTCCAGGATGATGGGAACCGCTCAGGTGCTCACCCTCCTGCCGCTGTAGGACAGCCGCTTTGCAAAGGGGCTTCTTTCCCCGGGCCTGCTCCAGCTCTGCCACCTGCGTCTAGTTCAGCCGAGGGAATGTCAGTATTAATGTCCATCTGGCTCCCTCAAGGAGACCCCCACTAGCCCTGTCCCGCCTGTTTTCCCTCTCAAGTCTCCACCTGGGCCAGCGTTGTCCTTTGGGGAGCCCGTGGGAGCTGCTCACGGTTTTCCTCCAGCAGGCCAGGGAGTGGAGGGCACCCTCCCGTTCCTATTCAGGAAGCTAGCGAGGGCTGAGACACACACGCCTTCGAGGCATCCAGAGGGCAGGATGCATTTGGTACCGGCAGAGACCTCGTGGCCACCGTTACCTCCAGCTGCCGTATCTGCTGTTGGGCTCCCATCAGCTCTTGCTCTGCACCCGTGAGGGAACGATCCAGGCGCCCCTTTTCCACCGAAAGCCGCACCGAGTCCTCGTGAGTCTTCAGCTTCTCGCGCTCCACCTAGCAATCCCACCACGCCTCAGTTGCGGCACAAAGGCCCCCACGACTCACACACCCAGCAGGAGAGGATTTAGAGGAAAAAAACACTCTGCGGGAGCCCCTCAGTTAACTGAGCCCCCGTGCCCAGTTCATTCCCTCCCCTCTGGAAACCTGCTCTTGGTCCCCTCCAGGCCTCACCAAGGCCTCTCCTCTCTCGCTTCCTCCAAAGCAGCATGACTGACCTTGTCCAAGGTCCTCCGCAGGGCGCCCTTCTCCTTCTCCAGGCGCAGGGACAGGCGCTCGGCTTCCCGTTTCTCGCTCTCTAGCTGGGCCAGGGCTTTCTGCAGACTGCCCAGGCGCTCCTGGAGCAGGCGCCGGTCCTCTTGCACCTTCTGGAGCTTCCGCAGGGCCACCGCCTCCCCCTCCTGGCGTTGGCGCAGCAGCTGCAGGGAGGGAGAAGAGGGCATGGGAGGGCGAGTTTCCAGGCACAACTCGCCACTGCATGCTGATCCCGGGAATGAAACCAGCTCTTTAGGAACGCCCAGGAGGCATCTCGGCCCACCCGGACCTCAGGCTCTGGCCTCGTGGGTCAGACATGGCTGTGGGCTCAAGTGACTCACTTCTTCCTGCTGTCTCCCCAGCCCCTCTAGCTGCTCCTTCTGCAGCTCCAGCTCGGCCTGCTGCTCCTTTAGGGCTTGGAGGCGCTCCGAAAGTGCTCCGTTCTGCTTCTTTGCTTCCAAGAGGGCATGTCGGGCTGCGTCTAGTCGCTCCTGAAGGGATATAGGATGGATGGATGGATGGATGGATGGATGGATGGATGGAGGGATGGATGGATGGATGGATGGATGGCGGCCCATCTCTCTCGGCAGAGCTATGAGCACCTTTGGTGAAGGAAGGCACTGCCAGTGGAGCCCCGGTCTTTCCACCCAAAACACACCCACCTGCAAGACTCTCTGCTCGTGCGCCCCAGCTGCCAGGGCCTTCTGCAACTGCAGCAGCTTCTCCTGGGCTGAGACGGAGCTGCTCTGGCTCTCGGACAAGGTGGCCGTCAGTCCCTGCACCTTCTCCTTCAGGGAAGTCTCAGAATCGGCAGCTTTGGCCAGCGAGAGGTTGAGTTGGTCCAAGGAGTGCTGCAGCGCACCGGCTCTCGCCTCGCTCTCAGTCACCTGGTGTCGCGGGAATGAGCCAAAATAAAACTGGCTGGCAGCAGTGCAGCCTAAGGCTCTTCTCTGTGCTCTTCCATCAAGGGGATAGGGCTGGGCCCGGGGGCGGTCGTGCTGAGGCCCCTGTGGTCACACAGGACCTCACCTGCCTCTGCATGAGGGCGACGCGCTCCTGAAGAAGCTGGAGCTCAGCCTCGCGGTCACTCAGCACCACCTTGGCCCGCTGCAGTTCCCCTTCCAGCGACCGCCGCAGGAGCTCCAGTTTGGTGCTACGGCTCTCCGAACTGCCCAAGGAGTCTCTCAGCCGTCGTCTGTCCACCTCCAGCTTGGCTTCGTTGGCCTTCATCTTGCTGAGTTTCTCCTGGAACAAGCGATAAGGTGGAAAAAGTGATCATAATTGTTTCTGACTTGCCCGGCAGGGACAGGCTGAGCTGATCCGGAGGTGGCCGGCTGGGAAACAGGTGAGGTCTGCAGGGAGCACGGCCAGCTTTGCTGCCATCCCCTCGGCTCAGCGGGCTGGTCCTTGAACTTGGGAATTCAGGAGACAGAGCTGGGATGGGTTCTTTCACCTCCACCCTTTCCTTTTCTGGTTTCTAAAGAGGAACCTGGTTCCCCTGCACACCCACCTGCGTGGCCCTCCGCTCGCTTGAGGCCGCCTGCAGGTCATGCTCCAGCACAGCCAACTTCTCTGCCTGGGCCTTGCGCTCTCGCTCACTCCAGCGCAGGGTCTCCTCCTGAAGCATCAAAGCCGTCTGGGCTCCAGTCAGCTTCCCATCCAGACTGCGCCTCTCTACAGAAGGAACGGGCACCTGTGCTCAGGAATGGGCTCCCCGGGGCTGTCTTACCCTTTCTGTGGGGAAGGAGGGCAGCTCCGGTGTCCCATGGGCCAAGCCTCAACGGCACAAAGCGAAAGAAGGAGCCCCTCCAAGGGGAAGATGTCAACCATTCTGCCTCGGCTGCCAAATGCTGCTGTGCTTTCTTTAACAACTGCCTTTACAAAACTGACACGTATTTATTCTGAAGAAAAAGGGTCTTGCTTAATCTCTTCTTCTTTCTGGAAGTATCCAGTGAGAAAAGCCGTCTCCAGAACAAACGAAGCATGGAAGGAAGTGTTCGCCCCCAGCTTCTCTGTTCAGAAGCACAGCCACTTACCGTATTTTTCGGAGTATAAGACGCACCTTTTTTCCTCCTAAAAGGGGGTGAAAATTTAGGTGCATCTTATACACCGAATGTAGCCCTGCCCACCCACTGGCCCCCACCCTTTGGCCTCTGCCTTCCAGCAGTTTACCTCCTTGCAGCAAGAAGAAACAGCTTGTTTCAGCTTCAGCACAGCCTAATTAGCACAAGTTGATTGGATCAGCCTCCTGACTCTCAGCTGTTTTGTTGTCAGCTGTTTTGCGCAGGCCTCTGCTGCTTGCTGCAAGGAGTAAATTGCTGGGAGCAGATGTTCTTGTGCTAATCAAGCTATGCTGAAAACGAAAATGAAAGTAAAGCAGGATATTTGCTGTTTGCTGCAATGAGGCAAAATTGCTGGGAGGCAGAGGCAGATTTCTTTTTCTTGTTTTCCTCAACAAAAAAGGTAGATGCGTCTTATAGTCCAGAGCGTCTTTTACTCCAAAAAATACAGTATATTTCCTGGGAAGAGAGAAGAAAGCTAACCTTCCTCGCACGCGGCCACCTGCTTCTGCAACTGCTGCACACGGCTGCTGGCCAGGTCACGCTGGGCCTCCGTCTCGGCCAGCTGACACTTCAGGCCACCCAGCTGGGAACGAGCTTCATCCTGGATCCCGAAAGACAAGAAGAAAATGCAGACTAAGGGTGGGTTTCTTGGGGTGGGGGGTTCACCACTGCAGCCGGACAAAACTCCTCTCCTCATACCCGCTCTTGCTGGGCCTCCCTCAGCTCTTCCAGGAAGTCTCGCAGCACGTTCTGAACCACTTCCGGGTCGATGTCTGCCACCAGCTGCCCGGCTTGGCTGGGAGACGGAGGGCGCTCCGGTGAGAGGGGGAGGGAGAACGGGCCGCTGGCCAACGAGGCAGGGCTGCTGTTGGGCCCCTCAGCAGTAGAGGTTCCTGCAGAGAGACAAGAGGACACGGATGTCGCCTGCCCAGCACTAGAGACCTAAAGTAGACGTCAGAGAGAGAGAGAGAGAGAGAGAGAGAGAGAGAGAGAGAGAGAGCTACCTTTGGGAGGGGAGAAAAGTATCTTCGGGGAGCCCCCGCTGACCCTTGGTCCGGGGACACGGCCCCTGCGGCTGACCCCCAGGGTCCGTCGGAGGGCTGAGTGAAGTCTACCCAGCTTGTACTCCGCCTCTCGTTTCAGCCCCTCCAGGCGGGCCAGCTCCACTTCCAGGCCCTGGGCACGACCCTCGGCCGCGCTCAGCCTCAGGCCCAGTTCGGCCCCCTCCACCTGGGCCTTCTCCAGCTTGATCTCCAGGTTGCGGGCGTCGTCTAGCAGCTTCTTCTCAGTGACGCGGGCTTCCTCCAGGCTCCCCAACAGCCCCTTCTCCCGTAGGCGCGACTCCTGCTCCAGGTCCATAAGCTTCCGCTGCAGGTTGTGGAGCTGAAAGGAGAGGCCTTTGGATACTACAGAGGCGGCCAGGAGGTGGCCAGCACTAAACCCTGCTCAGCCAGATGGGCACGTCCTAAGGGCACAATGGACAGTGAGAGCCACAGTCCTCCTTTCTTGGCAATCTTAGGCCGGAGAGAGAAGCTCGCCTTGGGAATGTTGTGGCCCGCCAGTGACCAGCGGAGCTGGTGGCAGACTCAGACAGTGAGGAGGTTGGGGAGGAACATGGGCCAGTCCTGGAGTCTGGGGAAGGCTCTGATGAGGGCTCTGCATCGAAGGCAGGGAGGGGGCCAGGGCCGTCTGACAGTTGTCAGCTGCCTTCGGAGTCGGACATCAGTGGGGCAGAGGAACAGCTGGAGCCTGTTCCCAGTGTGCGCATGCACAGAGCTGCCAGGAGAAAGGAACAGCTAAGGAACAAGGGTCGACTCAGGAGTAAAGCCACAGGTGGACGGTGAATGGCCCCTCCCACAGGGAATGAGTGAAAGGGGAGGGGAGTTTGCAGGAGACAATTAGTTTATGACTCTCCGAGACGCCTTGCCAAGTTTTGAAGATATGGGCCTGGCAGCTCCCCAAGCCAGATAAGGTCTGTGACTGTAAATTCTCCCTTGAAAGACTTTTGCTGGATGTGAATGAGAGGAATTCACAGTAACTTAATAAAAAGGGTTTTTGTTGGGACAAGGAGTCCACTTCATGCTCTTGGGAAGCCTAGGTCAGAACAGTTGGAACTAGCTCAGCTGGAACTAAACTCGGAGTCAGCCTCACCTCTTTCCGGGCCGACTCCCGGCCGGCCTCACTCTCCACAATCTTCTGTTTGAGGCCGAAGGATTCCCGCCGGCTCTCCTCCTCTCGCTGTTCGTCAAGGGCAACCCGTGCCTGGAGCTCGGCTACCTCTTTGTTCTTCTTGCTGTTTTCGCTGTCGAGCATCTTGATCTGAGAAAAAAGACAGGGCCAAGAGGCTTGTGAGGGAGGGGGGGGACACAATGGGCAGGGCAGGAAGGAAAGCGAGTCCTCCGAAGGCATTTTGTAGGAGGGACCAAAGAGCCGCGGTGGCGCAGTGGTTAGAGTGCAGTACTGCAGGCTACTTCTGCTGATCACCGGCTGCCAGCAGTTTGGCAGATTGAATCTCACCAGGCTCAAGGTTGACTCGGCCTTCCATCCTTCCGAGGTGGGTAAAATGAGGACCCAGATTGTCAGGGGCAATAGGCTGACTCTGTAAACCGCTTAGAAAGGGCTATAAACCACTGTGAAGTGGTATATAAATCTAATTACTATTGCTACCAAAGAACACCCCACCCCAAGATGGAAAGGAAGGCAAAGCAGAACCGAAAGGAGTAACTTACGAGGGGATGAGAGAAGGAAAAAAACATCCAGAGGGGTCTAGCCTTGGGAACTCCCCTGCCCCTCCCTCCCTCCCTGCCAGAGATCCCCAACCCTTGCGGGGTCTGCCTGGCCAGGCCCCCTCTTGTCTGCACCCCACACCTGTCTCCGCAGCTCCTGCAACTCTCTACGGGCCTCCAACCGCGATTGCTCCACCTCCTGGAGGCTGCTACGCACGTCTGTGGTCTCCTTGCCGGCAGCTGCTTGAGCCTCCTCCAAGACTGAAATTTTCTGGTCCTTCTCCTCAGTCGCGCGCTTCAAACTGGAAACGGATTTTTAAAACAAACAAACAAACAAAAAAAACCAGGAACCTTCTTCAGTGGGGAAATTGTGAGCCCATCCTGTTTCCAAAGAAAGCGGCTCCAGACCGGGCTACGGAAACCCCTGGAAGTTTCAGAAGCGTGGGGAAGTAGTCTCCAGTCCAAACGCCGTAACGCCGCTTTAACGCCAGTCGGCTAGAGGCATGATGCGTGCGGCCGGTGTTAACGGCAGCCTCGGGACTCAACTCAGGCCCCACCTGATGCGCTCGCTCTCAGCCCGCTTTAGGGCCATCCGCAGCTCCGTGTTGGACTTCTGGAAGGCCTCCTTCTCCTTGGCCTCATCGTTCAGGCCACGGCGCAGGTCTGCCGCCTCCTTACGTTGGAGATCGCAGGCCTCCTGGGCCTCGCGCACCTTGCGATGGGCCTCCCCCAGTTCTCGGCGGATCAGTTCCCGAGCATCCTCCAGCAGCTGCAGCCGCGTCTTTAGCTCCTCCACCTAAACAGTGGGATTCCCTTTCTGTTTCTGCGGCAAGCAACATCTGCAGGCTAACCTTAGGCTGAAGGTCTGCAGCTGAGCATCTACAAACGCAGCCCTTCCCTCCCTGCCTGCCTGCCAGCCTCTACGGCACTCTGGCACTCTCCTCCCTGCTGACTGTGGCCCCTCACCTCGCAGAGGGCAGATTCCCGCTGCTTTGCCAGGTCCCTGGCCTGGTCCTGCAGGCTCTTTGCCTCTCGTTTGTGCCCTACGATGGCCTCTTCCAACTGAGAACGCAGATTTCGCAGCTCCGCATTCAAAGCACTGGTGGTGTTCTGGTTAAACATAGAAAAAGTCCATCAGTTAGTTTCATGCCTGCTTAGGAACCAACACACACACACAAAGAACCAGTGCGAGACAGAAGAGGCCATGCAGACCCCTGCTCCTAATTCAACCCACCAGTTGCCCAGAGGGAGGGAGGGAGGAAGGAAGGAAGGGAAAGGGAGGAAGGGAGAAGGGAGGGAGGGAGAGAGGGAGGAAGGAAGGAAGGAGAAAGGGAAGGAAAGAAGGGAGGGAGGGAGGAAAGGAAAGAAGGGGGAGGGAGGGAGGGAGGGAGGGAGGGAGGGAGGAAGGAAGGAAGGAAGGAAGGGGAAATGCCCTTTCTGGGCACAGAATGTGATCTGTTGGCAGATAAGGGCTCTGCCCTACCCTGGGGCGATGCTCCAGGGCCCGCCAGTCCCCCTACCCGCTCCTGCTCCTGGCAGCTACGGCTCTCGCGCTTCTGCCTTTCTAGCTCCAGGGTGATGTTGGCCAAGCTCTGCTGGGTGGCCAGGAGCTTCTCCAGGAGGACGGCCTTCTCCGAGTCTTTCACAGAGAGTGCCTGGAGAGAGAGAAGGTCAAGGTCACCTAAGGAGCTTCCCCAGCTGGGACAGAAAAGCACCCCGCAACCACCGCACCTCCAAATAGGGGAGGACCAGCTGCTGGCGGCCAGTGATGCTCCCAATGGGGGATTCAGACCTCTGTTTATACCAGCTAGGAGTTTGCTCTGGTCTCAAGACGTGTGCTCCCAGCCCTCTTGAAGGCTTCTAGCCAACATCTTATCTCTTTCTTCAGCAGCACTTACGTCACTGCCGGTTGTAAAGCACAGGGTGAAGGGGGGAAGGGGTATTGGCATTTCTCCCCTCTTCCTAATCCCAGCAAGGGATTGTCTCCGTTCCCCAGAAAAACCTTCCCTTCAGCAGCCTCTGTTACCCCAGGGCCCCCCACTGTGCCCAAGGGGCTCCCCTCCTCACCTGCTGCTTCTCGTTCTCGGCCAGCAGGAGGTCCTCATCCCGCTCCCGCTGCAGAGCAGACACCTCCACGCTCAGCTCCTCCTTCTCGGCCTCGTGCTGGGCCAGCAGATCCTCCCGCTCCTGCCTCAGTTGGTGCCTCAGCTGGTCCCGCTCGGCCTCCTGCTCCTGCCGCAGCGCCTCCTGCCCAGACAAGAGAGAGAGAGAGATGAGAGAAAAAGATAAGAAAGAGAGGGGTGAGAGCGAGAGAGATGAGAGAGGAGGGAGGGAGGGAGAGAGAGAGATGAGAAAGATGAGAGGGAGAGAGAGAGATGAGAGAGAGAAGGGAGGACGGGAGAGAGAGAGATGAGATGAGAGAAAAAGATGAAAGAGACAGATAAGAGAGAGGGATGAGAGAGACTGGAGGAGGGAGGGAGCGAGTGAGAGGAGGGAGGGAGCGAGAGAGAGATGAGAGGAGACAGATGAGAGAAAGATGAGAGAGGAGGGAGAGAGATGAGATGAGAAAGATAAGAAAGAGGGATGAGAGGGAAAGAGGGGGGAGAGAGGAGGGAGAGAGATGAGGGAGGGAGGGGAGAGAGAGAAAGGAGGGAGAGATGAGATAAGAAAGAAAGATAGAAAAAGAGGGATGAGAGAGAGAGAGATGAGAGAGAAAAAGATAAGAAAAGAGGGGTGAGAGAGAGAGAGAGTGAGAAAGATGAGAGAGAGAGAGAGAGATGAGAGAAAGAGAAGGGAGGAGGAGAGAGAGAGATGAGAGAAAAAGATGAAGAGAAAGATAAGAGAGAGGATGAGAGAGAGAGGAGAGAGAGGAGCGAGAGGAGGGAGGGAGCGAGAGAGATGAGAGAGGGAGACAGATGAGAGGAGGGAAAGAGATGAGATGAGAAAGATAAGAAAGAGGGATGAGAGGGAAAGAGGGGGGAGAGGAAGGAGAGAGGAGGGAGAGATGAGAGGAGGAGAGGAGGGGGAGAGAGAGGAAGGAGAGAGATAAGAGAGAAAGATAAGAGAGAGAGGGATGAGAGAGAAAGAGGGGGAGAGAGAGAGAGAGAGGAGAAGATGAAAGAGAAAGATAAGAAAGAGGGAGAGAGAGGAGAGCGAGAGGAAGAGTGCACAGAGGAAGGAAGTGCCCAGGAGGCATCACCTGCTCCATCCCGAGACTGGACAGAGAGTCCTGGCCTCTCCCACAATTTCTCCACTGCACCTATCTCCTTCCCATGTGGAGAAAGCCGTGAGGCCGCAGGGCCAGAACAGCATTCTGCTGGAAGCCCCCTCTCCCGTAGGGACTTCCCTCCGACAGGCCTCCCGCCTCAGCCCAAGGCCCGGATTCCATGCTACCTTCTCTCGCTGGAGTCGCTCGACCTCCGCCTGGGCAGCTTGCATGTTCCTCCGGGCGGCCTGGGCCTCCTGCTCCGCCAAGGCCCGGTTCTGGGCCATGAGCTCCTTGTCCCTCTCCAGGCGGCTCACCTCCGTCTCCATCTGTTTGTGGACGTTTGCAAGCTCCGCTGGTGGGGGGCAGGGGAGGGAGGGAGGGGGGAGAGCGGGGAAGGATATAACAGAGAGGTTGGGGGGGGGGGGGGGGCTGCGAAGAAGGGGTGCCCTGCCAATCCCTCTTCCCAAGGATCAAGGGCCACGATTACCGTCTTTCCCCCAAAATAAGACCAGGTCTTATATTAATTTTTGCTCCAAAAGACACATTATGGCCTATTTTCCAGTTAGGTCTTATTTTGGGGGAAATACAGTACTAAATGCCTCCATCTGCTGACTATCTTAACTAGGGCTTATTTTTTGGGGTAGGGCTTATATTACGAGCATCCTGAAAAAAATCATGCTAGGGCTTATTTTCCGGTTGGGTCTTATTTTCGGGGAAACAGGCTACATGCAAAGGAGAAGGGGAGATTCTGGTACCCGGCCCACCTGGGAGTAAATTGTCCCCTGGCCACAGCTCCCTCTCCTGGGCTGGAGGCAGATAAAGGGGGTCTCCGAGTAGGTCCACATTCCACTAAAAGACCCCATCCTCCCTCTCCCCAACAAGGGATGGAAGGAAGGCACTCCTCCATTCCCCTCCATCTCCCAGTACCTTGCAAGGCCTCTTTGGCCAGAAACAAGCTCTGGCTGCCCGTTTCCAGCTGCTCCCTCCGGGTGTCCAGGTGGGCCAATCTTTGCTGGGTCTCAAAGAGCGAGGCTTCCAGGGAGTCCTTTCCAGACCTAGCCAGAACAAGGATCGCCCCGGTCAGGTTGTGAGGGGAGGGGGCTAGGCTAAGCCTCATTGTCTTTGCAGTCAGGCCTTCCATCTGCAGCTTGAGGGTTAACCTACCCCCACCAGTACTCGTTGGCGCGCTAGTCAACCGGGACCAGAGGGAAATGATGCACGCTGAGCCCAGGTCTGCTTCCCCAGGACAGAAAAGGGCTTCAGCTACTGCGTGGCTGCAGGAAGAACCCCCCTCCCCACCCCCCCCCAGACCTGATTCTGGCCAACCGTCATCCTTTGAGAAAGAAGAAAGAACAGCAGGAACTTGTTCTGCCCTAGGCTTCCCCAGCAGCACGAAGCCGAGTCCTCGTCCCAATAAACCCCTTTTATTGAATTGACAGTGAATTCCTCTCCAGCAAAAAGTCTGTCCTCTCCCACAGTCTTTCAAGATAGTTCACAATTACCGAACTTTATCAGGCATGGAGAGTGGCCAGGCCGATATCTTTCATGGGCAAGAATGCAGGAATGAACTAATCGTCTCCTGCAAACTCCACTCCCCTGTCGCTCCTCTTTTATTCCCTCTGGGAGGGGCCCTTCATCGTCCACCTGTGGCCTTACTCCTGAGTCGACCCTTGTTCTTTAGCTGTTCCCTTCGTCTGGCAACTCTGGGCATGCGCACACTGGGAACAGGCTCCAGCTGTTCCTCTGCCTCCCTGATGTCTGCCTCCGAAGGCAACTGATAACTGGCAGACGGCCCTGGCCCCCTCTCTGCCTCCGACACAGAGCCTTCCCCAGACTCCAGGACTGGCCCATGTTCCTCCCCAACCTCCTTACTGTCCGAATCTGCTGCCAGATCCACTGGCGGGCCACAACACAACTGTCCCGATCTCCTCCTTGCTCTTCTGTCAGCCCGAGCACAGGAGCTGCCACGCCACTATGGGGTTACGAGCATACCGGCGTTCCTTTTGTGACTACCACCCAGAGAGCCTCTCGGGCACCCACCTGAGGCCAGCGAGCTCCTCCAGCAGGCAGTGGTTCTCCCGCTCCAAGGCGGCCACCTGTACCATCAGCCCGGCTTTCTCCTTCATCAGCGTCTCCTTCTCCTGGGCCACCCGGAGCGCAGATTCCTTCTGGCGCTCCAGCTCTTGGCACGCCTGGCTCAGCTCCTTGCCGGCTGCGTTCCGTTGGCGGGACAGCTGAGGACGGAGGGAGAAAGGCCGGAGGGCTGTTGCCAAGGCTCTGCCAAGGTGGTGCCCGCCCATGTGAGCCAGAGGATAAGCCACCTCCCAGCAAGACAAAACCCTTAAAGCTTGTGGGCAACTGGGATCAGAGAATGGAATGAAGGAAGGCATGCATGTGGCAAATACTGTTCAGCACAGAACCATCAAGCGACTCAGGTCCAGCTAAGGATTCCCTTAAAGCAGTTTGGCCCCTGCATGGAATGCCTGTTAGGCATGTTTTGCAAGATTTCAACCCCCAACCAATGTCCTTCCTATAGGGCAACCGAGAAGGGTGAAGGGGAACAGGGTTCTGCTCTGAACAAAAGGCCCCTCGATCCGAGATCCCTGCAGCTGCTCTCTACCTGCTCCAGCTGTTCCTGGAGCTGCCCTTTCTCCCCCTGCACGGCCAGCAGCTCCTGCTCCAGGGCCTCCTGGCTCTGCTCCACCGCCTGCAGGGAATGGCCCAGGCCTCGCCGCTCCGAGTCGAGCTCCAGCTTCTCCTGCACCAAGCGGGCCAGGTCGTCCCGGATGCAGGCCTTCTCCAGCTCCGCCTCCTGCTTCCTGCTCAGCAGACATGCCTTCTCCTCCTCCAGCTGCCCAAAGGAGATGCCCAAGGCCACTGTGAGGGACGGCAGGTGTTGCTGCTGCTCCTCCCACCCGCACCACCCTTGGCATTTTCCCAAGGGAAAGAGCCTGGCTCTTCCCGTCCCATCCCACCCCATCTGCCCCATTCCCCTTGAAGCCACTGCAGAACATGGGACACTCTGTGCCGAGGGCCATCTATGGTCCCCTCAGCAAAGGCTACAGGGCCTGACCTTTGGCTTCTGCATCGCACACAAAACAGGCAAGGGAGACTCGGGCATGACCCTGCAACAGTTCTGGATGCAGGGCAATTCCTCCCCGCAACTCCCCCGGCCTCACTCACCACTCGCAGCCCCCTAACCTGGATGAGGATGTGGTTCAGCTCCGTTTTGTCTTGCGCCAGCCCTTCGTTGAGGGCACTCATTTTGGCAAGGGAATCGCGCATGGAGGCCTCCTCGGCCTTCAGCCGGTTCAGAGCGACTTCCAGCTCGGCCCGGCTCCCCTCGTTCTAGATGGGAGGAAGAACGCAATGGTGGCAAACAGGAGCCTCTTCGCATGAAGGCCACAACCGGCTTCAGGACTAAGGGCACCCTGGGGCCAAGGCCAGGGCTGCTGGCAAGTGCGGAACTGCAGGCTCCTTCTATTGACTGCCGGCTGACTGCAATTTGGCAGTTCAAATCCCACCAGGCTCAAGGTTGACTCAGCCTTCCATCCTTCCGAGGTGGGTCAAATGAAGACCCAGATTGTTGGGGGCAATAGGGCTGACTCTGTAAACAGCTTAGAAGGAGCTGTGAAGCAGTATATAAGTCTAAGTGCTATTACTATTTTCCTTCCTTTCTTCTTCCTTCCTTTCCTCCTTCCTTCCCCAATGATTAGAATACAGTATTGTAGGCTAACTCTGCCCCACTGCCAGCAGTTCAATCCTGACCGGCTCAAGGTTGACTCAGCCTTCCATCCTTCCTAGGTGGGTAAAATGAGGAGCCAGATTGTTGGGGGCAAGAGGTTGACTCTGTAAACCGCTTAGAGAGGGCTGTAAAAGCACCGTAAAGCAATATATAAGTCTAACTGCTATTGCTATTGCTCCAGCCAAGGTGGGCCCAACACATAACCTGCTCCCTCCCTTTTCCTGAACCTCCACCGGGCGCCTTGCCTTGGCCAGAGCTTCAGCTGCTTTGGCCTTCTCCTCTTCCAACACCTCCTTCTCCAGAGTCGCATGGCTGAGGGCTTCCTTCGTCAGCACCAGCTCGTTCTTCAGACTGGACTTGGCGGCCTCCAGGTGCTCCAGCTGCTTGTGGCTGTCAGCAGGGCAGAGAGAGGAGGGACCACAGGGGCCCCGGCTGAACGCAACAGGCTCTGAATACCTGAGATAGACAAGCCCAGAGGAGGGCAGGCCAGAGTCCCCCACCCCACCGTCCTTCGGGGCTCCTCCTGCCGAAACTCTTGGAGTTGGGACTCCTCCGTAGCTTCCCTACTCAATGCCCCACCATCAGCTTAGCCGGGGGGGGGGGGGGGGTACTGAGCCATGAACAAGGCCTCTCCACCTCTGGCTGGGTAGGGGGCTTCCAACCCAGCCCCCCATCTACCTCTGTTCCACTTCCTTCCAGGCACGCTCTCGATCCTTCAGGAGGTCTTCCCTTTCCTCTTCCAGGGCATTGCGGTGGTGCTGGAGGTCGCTGCTGGTCAGCTGCAGTTTCTCCTTCTCTTGACGCAGCTCTTCCACTTCCTGCTCCGCAGCCCGGAGGCTCTTCTCCAAGGACAACTTCTCACTGATTTGGGGTGGGGGGGGGGAGGGGGGAAACAACCACAGCCTTGTGGAAGCACAGCAGACAAGAGGTCAAGGCAGCTCTGCCCTTCCCGAGGCCTCTCGAAAGGAGAGGAAGAGCAGGCCAGCTACCAGCGGCCACGTTTTTTGAGCCTCTTGTCGATGCCTCTGCTTGAAGGGTCATCACAGAGAGCCTATTTTGGGGGAAGAGGGGCTCTGAAGCCGCTGCAGCCCAAATTATGCTTTTAGTGGAGAGGACAGCGGGTGGCACACAGGCTTCGCCACTAATTAGCCACCAACGTTGCAAAAATGCCCGCTCTTGGAATAAAGCAAATTAAGGGTCTACAACCTTAAACACTCAAAAGAGCCATTTGGACCCGTTTCCCACAGAAAAGAAAACACCGGGAGCCACAAAACCGTGCCTGATTATTTCTTGAGCGGCCACAAAACTAGCATATGTAGTTGAATTAAATGTTCTGTTTTCTTCTGAAACTTTTCTTTTCTTGGATTTATCCATGGTTGGCCTACCGGGGGTTGAAAAGCTCAATAAATTGCGTGCCGGCGGGCTTCGCACATTGGCAGTTGTGACGCATATTTTGAGTGACAGGGAGCCGCAGCAGAGGGGTGAAAGCGCCACATGCGGCTCCAAAGCCGCAGGTTGCTGACCCCTGTTCTGGGGTGTCAAACTTGATTTCATTGAGGGCTGCATCAGGGTTGTGTTTGACCGCGGGGGGTGGAGGTGGATGGGTGGGAGCAGCTCAACGTCACTCATATCGGGGGCGCCTGTGGTGACCCGAGCACTCTGCCAGCAAAAACGGGCTCCGTTTTTGGCTGTGATGGCCTCCTCCTGCAACCCTCTGCCAGCGAAAACAAGAGCTTAGGAGGGCTGCAAGTGGCCAGTCCTTCGCTGTTTCCAGGGCAGCTCTGCAGGCCAGATCTAAGCACCCTATGGGCTGGATCGGGCCCCCTTGAGTTTGATACCCCTGATCTAGACCCACTAGAGAGCAAACTGTAGCATTTGTGTAATGCTCCCAAGGAAGGAATAACTTTCTCAGTCTGAATTTACAGTGCAGCGTCACCTCAAAAAGGTGGAAGGAAAAGGGAGTGGAAATCAGTTACTCTTGAGAGCCTTCAGTCTGCATTAACGGGCGAAGCACAAATGCCGAGCACAAACACAGGCCCTAAGCATGTTGTGGCCCACCAGCAGCCAGCAGACTTGGCGGCAGATTCGGACAGTGAGGAGGTTGGGGAGGAACATGGGCCAGTCCTGGAGTCTGGGGAAGGCTCTGATGAGGGCTCTGCGTCAGAGGCAGAGAGGGAGCCAGGGCCATCTGACAGTTGTCAGCTGCCTTCGGAGTCGGACATCAGTGGGGCAGAAGAACAGCTGGAGCCTGTTCCCAGTGTGCACATGCACAGAGCTGCCAGGAGAAGGGAACAACTAAAGAACAAGGGACGACTCAGGAGTAAAGCCAAAGGGTAAACGGTGAATGGTCCCTCCCATAGGGAATAAAGAGGAGCGAGAGGGGAGTGGAGTTTGCAGGAGGCAATTAGTTCATTTCATTAGTGCGAAGATCTGTTCGTGACTCTCAAGAGACTCTTTGCCAAGTCTTTTCTTGCATTTGGAAGATATCGGCCTGGCAGCTCTCCAAAGCCTGATAAGGTCTGTGGTTGTAAATTCAACCTTGAAAGACTGTTTGCCAGGACTTTGCTGGATGCGAATGAGAGCAATTCACATTAGCTTAATAAAAAGGGGTTTTGCGGGGACAAGGAGTCTGCTTCGTGCTTTTGGGAAGCCTCGGTCAGAACAAAGCAAGGCATCCCACGGCTCACCCAGAAAGACAGAGCGAGCCTCTCCCACCCACCCACCACCCCAAACCTTGGGCAGTTTGGAAAGCACGGCTCAGGGGACCCCAGACTTCTCCTCTTACCTGCCCAGTAACTCTACCGCCGACCGGAAGTGATTGGCATCCCGGCTTGACTCCTCCCTGGCCCGAGCGAGACTCTCCACCTCACTCCGCAGCTGCAGGACTGTCTGCTCCGAAGACTGTCGCTCGTGGTTCTCCTCGGCCAGCTGCCTCTTCAGCGAAGACACCAGATCCTGAGCGGCCTCAAATTTTCCCCGGAGTTCCTGGGTGCAACGATAAACCAAGTCACATGTTGGGACAGACTTCCAAGAGGAAAGTGTTCACTGCCCCACTCACCCTGCCATGTGCACGCTCAGTGCCGAGGAAAGCAGAATCAAGCCAATGCAGAAAACTGCAGGGAAACCCGCCTATTCTACCCATGCTTTCTTTTCGAAACTTTCTCATCCTGTCAGGGTAATGAATATTTAAAGCTGACCAGCCGTTATAAGGCTGTAAATCAAGATAATGAACTGAGGATGAGTCAGCAGCGTTACTGCCACTTTAAGAAGATGTCTATATAAGGGAGGCCATGAGAGGGTGTCTGTCTCTCTCTCTCTCTCTCTCTCTCTCTCTCTCTCTCTCTCTCCTCGTGTATCACTCTCCTCGTCTTGTTCTATCTGCATTGTAGCTTTCTATGTAGAGTTGAAGATTGCTTGCTTGCCTGGTATGTGCCTACCCCGTGTATGTATGTATATAGAAGTCTCGTATATAAACCACTGTTTGTAATGACAAAACCTGTGTGTCCTGTATTTTGCTCCTGGGTTGTCTCAAAATAGTAGTCATGCTGTGTGCACACTCTGACACATCCCCATGGCTGGGGATCACCCCAAAACAGGTTAAGTCTTGAAGAAGTGGAAGAGTCAGAAATTTCAACAGGAACAGGGAAAATGTGTGTGAGATCCAGTAGGATGATCTTCCTGCCTCCCCACAAAACCAGCCTGCTCTTCTGCCACCCAGAGAACCTCTGCGGCAGGAGGAGGGGGCTTTCCCAAGAGGGCAGCAGGAGGCAGGGGGTGTCAAGCATCCAGCTGAGAAGGGAACAGGATGCGCTCCCGGCCCCACGTCCCATCCCGCATTAATTTGGCTTCCCATCTTAGAATAACAGAGTTGGAAGGGACCTTGGAGGTCTTCTAATCCAACCCCCTGCTTAGGCAGAAAACCCTACACCACTTCAGACAAATGGTTATCTAACATCTTCTTAAAAACTTCCAGCGTTGGAGCATCCACAATTTCTGGTGGCAAGTTGTTCCACTGATTAATTGTTCTCACTGTCAGGAAATTTCTCCTTAGTTCTAAGTTGCTTCTCTCCTTGATTAGTTTCCATCCATTACTTCTCATCCTGCCCCTCAGGTGCTTTGGAGAATAGCTTGACTCCCTCTTCTTTGGGGCAGCCCCTGAGATATTGGAAGACAGCTATCTCTCCCCTAGTCCTTCTTTTCATTAAACTAGACATACCCAGTTCCTGCAACCGTTCTTCACATGTTTTAGCCTCCAGTCCCCTAATCATCTTTGTTGCTCTTCTCTGCACTCTTTCTAGAGTCTCCACATCTTTTTTACATCGTGGCGACCAAAACTGAATGCAGTATTCCAAGTGTGGCATTTTGACGTGAATCTGGGCAGCTTACAGCATAAAAACATTAAAATCACCAGGGATAAACATTCCCAACACAATAAAGTGAAAGCTTCATTTAACATTTCCTTCCTGGGGTGCCAGGGGTGCCCCCGTCCCTTCCCCACCTGCAGCTGCAGCTGGCGTCTCTGTAGGGCGGACTGCACCATAGCCAGGGTGGAGACTGCAAAGACAGGGGAGTGGCTGCGTCGAGGCGAGGAGCTCCGCAAGGGAGAGGGCAAGCCCCGCAGGCCGGTGCCGTTGCTGGCCGAAACGTCAGCCTTTGGGTCGGATGGTGGGAGGTGACCGGTGCCTTCAGTGTCCAAGATCACTGCCTGAGGGATGGGCCAAGAAGAAACGAGCCATCGGAATGCAGGAAATACACTTGCCCGCCAGCTGCAAAGACCAGATGTGTGCCCAGCTCCAAGATTTCATGGCCTGCCCCCGGAAGGCCGTACCTGGGCAATCTCTCGCAGCGCCTGGTGCAGCTTCTCAGTTTCCCTCCTCAGGGCTTCCACCTCCACAGACTGTTCCTGCGCACGGCAGGCTTCCTGCAACGATAAGGACAGTTGGGAAAACAGTTCTGCCCGAAGTTGGGAAGGCAGCTCCGCCCGAAATTGGGAAGGCAGCTCTGCCCGAAATTGGGAACTCAGCTCCGCCTGAAATTGGGAAGGCAGCTCCGCCTGAAATTTGGAAGGCAGCTCCGCCTGAAGTTGGGAAGGCAGCTCTGCTGAAATTGGGAAGGCAGCTCCGCCCGAAGTTGGGAAGGCAGCTCTACCTGAAGTTGGGAAGGCAGCTCTGCCAGTGTGTCTCTTCTCCCTCTCTCCCCCATCCCAGCATCCCAAACGGCCTTCTCTCAGCTGGGGTTGTTTCTCACAGCGTCCGTCCCCGCCACTCCCCACCCCCAAGGCCAACGTCCTGCCTCCACTTCTCACCAAAGTCTCCAGCTTGTGGTTCAAGCCTTCAATCGTCCGGCCCTTCTCCAGGTTCTGCCCTTTCAGGCGCTCCAGGTTTGAGAGAGTTTCACTGAGCCTGAAGCCAGAAGAAAGCCCCCTCAAGTCAGCCCTCCACAGCTCCTAAGAGCGGAGCCAATTTTGGAGCATGCCCTCCTCTCTCTCCACCCCCCAGCCCACCTGGTACTCAGCTCCACCTTCTCGGTGTCACACCGGACCTGCAGCTGGATCACGTCCCTGACCTTGTCCTCCAGCTGAGCTGTCAGCAGCACCTGCTTCTCCGCAGCTGCGCTGGCTGTGCTCTCCGACAGGTGAAGGCGTCCGCTCAGGTTCAGGCAGGTGGCGTTCACAGCACGGCTCGTGTGGGACAGCTCGCTCTTCAACTCCGAGAGATCCCTACAGGAGGAAGCGGAACCTTTGCATGGCAGAGACAGAAGAAGGGCTCCTGTTAAAAGCACTCCCTGGAGGCAGGGAGGATGAACGTGAGGCTACGGCTCCCGGGGCCCCTCATCGCTCAAGGTGCTTGGCAATTCCGGCAAGCACAGGAAAAGCGGAGCAGAAGGGGAAGAGATCTCGCGCAGAAACAGGCACGCAAATGCGGTGCAGCCCAGGAAAGTGGCAAATGGAGGCTGAACATAATATAGTATTGTGATGGCGAACCTATGGCACGCATACCACAGCTGGCATGCAGAGTGCTCTCTGCAGGCACGCGAGCCGTTGCTCAGCTCAGCTCAGCTCCACTGCGCATGCGCGCCTCCCGCCGGCCAGCTGATTTTTGGGATGCGCAGGGAGCGGGGCGCATGTGGGAGATGCGCGCGCATGCACGGGGGATTTCGTGTGCATGGGTGGGGAGCACAGGGGAGTGGCACGCGTGTTCTGGAAGAGCGGAAACAGGCTCATTTCCGGCCTCCAGAGCCTGGGGGAAGCTGTTTTCGCCCTCCCGGAGGCTCAAGGAAAGCCTCCGGAGCCTGGGGAGGGCGAAAAAGTTGCTAAAATTTTTGAATCCTACCCCTCGCCCACTTGCGCGGGGGCGCGCGTGTGCATTCGCAGGGGGGCGTGTGCACACGCAGCACAGGTGTGTGTGTCATGCATTGCATTATGGGTGCCGGCCCGCACGCACACTTTTGGCACACCAAGAGAAAAAGGTTAGCCATCACTGATATAGTACATGTCTTGAGATTGCTTGATTGGGGAAATGCCCCTTTAGCTCTCGGAGAGGATGCTCCGTTCCTGAGGGCTTCTCGCCTTGCCAATTCCAGTTTCAAAGCTGATAGCTCTGCCTGCCCACGCCTTAGTCCCAACGCTAACCTTTCCGTCATGCTCTTCATTTCGCTGAAGTGCCTCCTGAGGCTGACCACTTGCCGCCAGAGGGTGAGCAGCCGGCTGTGCTCACTGCTGAAATAGTCGTTGAACGACTGAGGAGAGAGAGACAGAGAGAGAGAAAGGAGGAGGACAGCTCCTACTGACTTCTGCGGGGACTCTGACTGTCGTCTCGGGACTTCAGGAACCTCCAATTTGGTCGAGCTGTTGCCCGGCCTATTCAATCTGGAAGGAATTCTCCCTGCCACCCCCACCCCCCGTTCCTGTCCCTAAAGGTCTCCAGCCCCAAACCTCTTCCTCTCGCCTCCACTCTGCCTCCCGCTGCTGCAGCTCCTCTCGGGCTTTCGTCCAGTCCATGGTCAGCTTTCGGATGTCCTCGCTGAGGGCCTGATTGGCCACGTTGGCTTGCTCCAGCTGTTCCCTCAGCATGGCGTTGACCTGGGCCAAACTGGCACTCCTGACGGTTAGAGGGGAAAAGGGCATCATTGCCCAATGCCCAGCGGGACAAGGAAATGTTCACCCCACTTACAGGGGTGCTGGAGGCAAAGCGGACGGGCCAGGGAATCAGACTAATACCAGCAGTCCTCGACGTATGACAATGGAGCCTAAAACTTCTGTTGTTAAGGGAGACATTTGTTAAGTGAGTTTGGCCCCATTTTTCTTGCCACCGTTAAGTGAACTGCTACAGTTGATAAGCGAGTAACCCGGTTGTTCAGTGAACCCGGCTTCCCCATTGACTTTTGTTGTCAGGAAGTCGCAAAAGGAGATCACACATGACCATGGGGACACAGCAACGGTCATAAATACGAGTCAGTTGCCAAGCATCTGAATTTAGATCCCGTGATTGCTGGGATGCTGCAAAGGTCGTAGCTGTGAGAAACGGTCATTACCCACTTTTTCCAGAGCTGTTGTAACTTTGAACGGTCACTAAATGAACTGTTGTAAATCAAGGACTGCCTGTACACGAAACCAATGGAGACGGGGCAGTCGTAGCTTTTCTTCAGACTCACCTTTGCTGCTCCTCCTCTAAACGGATCAGAGCGTTTTCCAGGTCGTTGCTAGGATCCTCGTCGTGACATAGATGCATCTCAGACATGTCTAAGTGGCCCTGAAGGGTTAAAGGGCAAGAGATGAAACAAAATGAAGGACCAGGTCCCAGCATACCTGCCAGGGTTCAGCTGAGGTGTTGTGGTCCACCGGCGGCCTGAAGAGCTGGCAGCAGAGTCGGACAGTGAGGAGGTTGGGGAGGAACATGGGAAAGGCTCAGAGGGCTCTGCGTCGGAGGCAGAGAGGGGGCCAGGGCCATCTGGGAGTTATGTGCTGCCTCCGGAATCTGACATCAGCGAGGCAGAAGAACAGTGTGAGCCTGTTCCCAGTGCGAGCATGCACAGAGCTGCCAGAAGGCAAGAACAGTTAAGAAAAAGAAGGGCGACTCAGGAGTAAGGCTTGGAGTTGATTGGTCCCTCCCATAAGACATAAAAGAGGAGCAAACAGACGTGAGCCTTTGCAGGAAGCAATTAGTTCATATAGTCAATTCAAGCTCTGAGAAGTCCGTTTGACTCTGCTCTGTTTGGCCTTGCAAAACTAATTGGCAATTAGGACTCAAGGGAGCTAAAGGTGGGTGCTTATCAACGTTACCCTGAAAGACTGTGTCAACTTGAGCAGACGTCTGTCGGAATCGTCAGAGACTGTGAATCATTACGGGCTGTGAATGACCATAATTCACAGCCGCCTCAATAAAAGAGTTTTTTGGGGGGACTAAAATAGTGATTTATGCTTTCCAGGAAGCCTAGGTCAGAACATGAGGTTCTTCTAAGCTAGGCCTCTTTCTTTTGGAACATCTGCTTAAGCCCAGCCACTTCCCCCTTCAGCGCAAACTCCATGACTAGATCGCTTATTCGGTTGGAAAAAATTCCCCTCACCCTGAGATCCCAGTTCTCTGGGAGGAAAGTGGCTTCTTGATGCCACAGATCCAAAGAGGATCAAGGTTTTCCTTCTGAGTATCCGAGACTTGGGATCTTTTGGGGTAAGCTTTAAATCTCGGTCAGGTTCAACCTCAAAACATGAAAACCAATTTTGTTTCCATCCTTGAGCCCTCTATTCATAATGCCACTTCTGAAGGACTTGGGTCTGTCAAGAGAACTTGGTGCCATTGGGCTACGACATTAACCAGCCCCAAGGCAGAGAAAGTGGGCCGATGAAGGTAGCGACAGCGGAGGACTTAAAACACTGTGAAAAAATAATCTTGAGAGAGAGAGAGATGGGGGACGGCAATTCTACAATTCACACACAGCCCTGAAGTCCACATGGAGTTCTATGCACTGGACAGCTGGCACCAAGAAGCCACCCGGCCCAGTGATCTCGCCCTGGCCTGCTACACTGAAGAAAAAACACCCCTCACCACCAGTTGCTGATGCTCCAGCTCTGTGGATTTCTCCAGCAGCTGCTGCTCTTGTTCCCCACACTTCTTCTTGTACTGCAAAACCTAGAAGGGAAGGAAGGAAAAGAAAATTGCTTAACGCATTGTAAGCCGCCCTGAGTCTCCGGAGAAGGGGGGCATATAAATCAAAGTAAAATAAATAAAAATAAATAAAATTGTGCCGAGCTGTTCTGACCCAGCTCCCCAAACACGACAAACCCTTTGTAATCAATCAACGATTCCTTTATTAGGAGCGCCATCAGCCCTGGCAAAAAGTCTCTCTTTCTCACCGCAGGCTAACAAGTTTGTCTGGCAGGGAGATGAATAGTTGTCTGCCACATCTATTCATCTCCGGCCCCTGCCTTTTATCCCCAGAGTGAGGGTGGGGCTTCACTAGTAGCAGTGGCTCTTCCATCCCAAGGATCAGCCCATAGAAGTCCATAGATTTCCCCTCTCTTCTCCTGTTCTGACTTAGGCTTCCTGAGTCGGTAAAACACACAAGTAGTCCCAAAAGCCTGTTTTATTTTAACAGCTGTGAATTCTGTTCATTCACAGATGAGTCCCAAATAGTTGGAAAGAGTCCTTCGGGATAAGGCTGACCATCACCCACCTTTATCTCCCTTGACCCGCTGCCAAAGACCTAATTGGCAAAGCCAAACGGGGTCCAGAATCAAACAGAGCTTCAGACTTTAAACTGCACAGAATTAATAACGTTGCTTCCTGCAAAGACCCACGTGCCTTTGCTCCTCTTTTAAATTTTAAAAGAGGAGGGGCCCCGGCAGCCGACAGGCCACAACACGAGCAGACACAACTGCAGCCATTGGCCCAGCAAGCAGGTGGAGGAGACCTTGCATCTTGGCTACTGCTGGCTTCCAAGACAGGGCAGACCTTCTTGAAGGAAAAGCTAGCTCGGTCTTGCAATGCCAGCGTTAACTTCACCCCTGCAGAAAAGCATAGTGGCCAACCCACTTGCCAATCAGCTTTTTTCTTATTTTCCTCCCCAAAAACTAAGGTGGGTCCCCTTTTTTTCCTCCACCTGAAGAAGCCTGGGGAATTATGGTGGGAGATCCGGAATTCCTGCAGAAATACGGCCTAAGTATTACTTACTTACCATAGTTTTCGGAGAATAAGACGCACCTTTCCCCCCCCCCAAAAAGGATGAAAATCTGGGTGTGTCTTATACTCCGAATGTAGCCCCGCCCAGCTTCTCAAACGGAGGTTTCAGAGGCTGAAAAAAGCATCAGAAACCAAGCCCCCAAACAGAGCTTCAGAAAAAAAAAAAACCCAAACAGAGCTTTGGAAAAGGAGTCCCCAAACAGAACTTCAGAGGCTTTTTTTTTTCTGAAGTTCTGTTTCAGAGGCTTTCAGAGGCAGAAAAGAAAGTTTGGAGTTTCAGAAGTTTCAGAGGCAGAAAAAAAAAGCAAAAAAAAAAGAGCAAGGCACAGAGCTCACAACCAAGGAACCTGTTGCTAAAATTCACCTCTGGGAACAGCTGATTAGGGGTATTCCGGGAGGCCGACCCACCTGCCAATCAGCTTTTTTCTTATTTTCCTCCCCAAAAACTAAGGTGCGACTTATACTCTGAAAAATACGGTAGACCTAAACGAAGACTTAAGCGTAAGTACCATAAGCCGAGAGGGAAAATCCTCGAAGCTTTACTCTGTGATCTAACTCAGGTGAACTGGAACCTGAAATAGCACTGAGAGAGGGCAGAGGCAGGGAAGCGCCTTGCAATCAAAAGACACACACACACACACACACACAGAGACCAATGAGCCTGAAGCACCGGGAGGCACACAGGGGGCTTTTCCAGAGGCTGCCCAACCCACCTTGGCTTGCAGCTTCTGCACCAGCTGCGCCTGCCGCTGCTGTCCCTCCTGGTAGGCCTGCAGTTTGCGCTTGTAGGACGCCTGGTCCTCGTCCAACCGCCGGCGCAGCTCGATGTTCTGCTTGGCCAGGCTCCTGTTCTCCAGGCTCTCTTGCTCTCCCGTCTCCAGTCGCAGCGCATCCTCCAGCTGAGTCAAAGACAACCAGCTACTACATACCTGAGATTGCCTTAACACTGCGCCCATCGGGTTCCCACACACACAAGAGTGGCTGCTCTGGGAGGTGAGTTGGACTGGAGGAACCAGCTCGAGTGAGGAGTGGAGCTCACTGCGCAACCCTTCTCTCAAGAGAGGAGGGGGACTCAGCTGCCTGCCTTTTGGCCGAATCGCCACATTCCTCCTATTCTCTGCTCACTGGTTAGCCCCGTGTGTTGGGTACAGCCCCCCCTAAGTCACAATTCAGCTCAGAAAAGAAGCAGAGCGTCGGGTCGAAATGCTGCTTCTACGAGCCGCCCCACACCCTTCTTCGAGCCACCTGACAGAGGGACCCGAAGAGAGGCCAGAAGGGAAGTGTGCGGAGGGCTACTGAGGCAACCAGCAGATTAGGTGAAGGAAGGACAAGACAATCTTACAGAGCAGAAGTCCCAGCTATGTTCCCTAGCCCAGGGGTCAGCCACCTGTGGCTCTGGAGCCACATGTGGCTCTTTCACCCCTCTGCTGCGGCTCCCTGTCACTCAAAAATATGCCTCACAACCGCCAATGTGCGACACCCACCAGCACGCAATTTATTGAGCTTTTCAACTCCCGGTAGGCCAACCATGGATAAATCCAAGAAAAGTAAAGTTTCAGAAGAAAACAGAAGGTTTAATTCAACTACATATGCTAATTTGTATCAAGAAATAGTCAGGCACAGGAAGGGTTTTGTGGCTCCCAGTGTTTTTTCTTGTGGGAAACGGGTCCAAATGGCTCTTTTGAGTGTTTAAGGTTGCAGACTCCTGCCCTAGCCCAGCCAAACACAGGATTTACATTCAGAGGCTTGGTGACTGACTCGCATTTATGACGGGTGCAGTGTCCCTTCTGGGGTTACGTGATCCCCTTTTGTGACCTCTGAGAAGCAATGGGGGAAGCCACATTCATTTAACCGCGTTGCCCACTTACCAATCGCGGCCATTCGCTGAAACACGATGACAGGAAAGGTCGTAAAAAAATGAGGCCAAATTCACTTAACAGTCTCCTAATAGTTTCCTAGTATGATTTGATTGCTTATTTGTACCCTATGACTATCATTAAGGGTTGTACCTTATGATTCTTGATGAATGTTATCTTGTCTTTTTTATATACACTCAGAGAGTATGCACCAAAGACAAATTCCTTGTGTGTCCAATCACACTTGGCCAATAAAGAATTCTATTCTATTCTGTTCTTCTTTCTCTTCTCTTCTAATTCTCTTCTCTTCTCTTCTTCTTTCTTTCTCTTCTCATTTCTCTTCTCCTTTCTCTTTATTTCTTTAATTCTATTCTATTCTATTATTCTTTCTCATCTCTTTCATTCCTATTCTACTTTCCCTTCTCCTTTCTCTTCTATTTTCTTCTAATTCTCTTCTATTTTCTCTCTCATTTCTCTTCTCTTCCTTCTCTCTCTTCTTTCCTCTCTATTTCTTTAATTCTATTCTATTATTCTTTCTCTTCTCTCCTCTCTTCTTTCTTTATTCTATTTTTATTCTTATCTTCTCTTCTCTTTCTCTCCTCTTTTCTCTTCTATTTTCTTTTAATTCTATTCTATTCTATTCTATATCTCTTCTCTCTCTTCTCATTCCTATTTCTTCCCTTCTTTTTTCTCCTCCTTCTCTTCTATCTTCTTCTAGTTCTACTCTATTATTCTTTCTCTTCTCATTTCTCTACTCTTCTTTCTCTTTTCTATCTTTCTAATTCTTCTCCATTCTATTATTCTTTCTCTTCTCATTTCTCTTCTCTCTTTTCTTTCTCTCTATTCATTTCTATTCTATTATTCTTCTCTCTCTTCTCCTTTTCTCTATTCATTCTAATTCTATTCTATTATTCTTTCTCTTTCATTTCTTTCTCTCTCTTCTCTATTCCTTCTAATTCTATTCTATTATTCTTTTCTTCTCTTATTTTCTTCTAATTCTATCTATTATTCTTTTCTTCTCATTTCTTTCTCTCTTCTTCTCTTCATTATCATTCTTTCTATTCTATTATCTTTCTCTTCTCTTCTTTTTTCTTATTTCTAATTTCTTCTATTATTCTTCTCATTTTTCTTCTCTTTTTTTTCTTCTCTCTCTCTCTATTCCATTCTAATTCTATTCTATTTTTTTCTCTTCTCTTCTCTTCTCTTCTAATTCTACTTCTATTATTCTTTCTCTTTCATTCTCTTCTCTTCCTCTTCTCTCCTCTCTATTCCATTCTAATTCTATTCTATTATTCTTTCTCTTCTCTTCTTTCTCTTCTCTTCTATTTTCTTCTAATTCTATTCTTATTCTTCTCATTTCTCTTCTCTTCTCTTCTCCTCTTCTCTCTATTCTATTCTAATTCTATTCTATTATTCTTTCTCTTCTCTTCTTTCTCTTCTCTTCTATTTTCTTCTAATTCTATTCTTATTCTCTTCTCATTTCTCTTCTCTTCTCTTCTCCTCTCTCTCTATTCTATTCTAATTCTATTCTATTATTCTTCTCTCTCTCTATTTTCTTCTAATTCTATTCTATTATTTCTTCTCATTTTCTTCTCTTCTTCTCTCTATTCCATTCTAATTCTATTCTATTATTCTTTCTCTTCTCTCTTTCTCTTCTATTTTCTTCTAATTCTCTTCTATTATTCTTTTATTTCTTTCTTCTCCTCTTCTCTCTATTCTATTCTAATTCTATTCTATTATTCTTTCTCTTCTTCTATTTTCTTCTAATTCTTTCTATTATTCTCTTCTCATTCTCTTCTTTCTCTCTATTCCATTCTAATTCTATTCTATTATTCTTTCTCTTCTCTTCTTTCTCTTTTCTTCTATTTTCTTCTAATTCTCTTCTATTATTCTCTTCTCATTTCTCTTCTCTTCTCCTCTTCTCTCTATTCCATTCTAATTCTATTCTATTATTCTTTCTCTTCTCTTCTTTCTCTTCTCTTCTATTTTCTTCTAATTCTATTCTATTATTCTCTTCTCATTTCTCTTCTCCTCTCTTCTCCTTTTCTCTATTCTATTCTAATTCTATTCTATTATTCTTTCTCTTCTCTCCTATTTTCTTCTAATTCTATTCTATTATTCTCTTTCATTTCTCTTCTCTCTATTCCATTCTAATTCTATTCTATTATTCTTTCTCTTCTTTCTTTCTCTTCTCTTCTATTTTCTTCTAATTCTATTCTATTATTCTCTTCTCATTTCTCTTCTTTCTCCTCTCCTCTCCTCTCTATCCATTCTAATTCTATTTATTATTCTTTCTCTTCTCTTCTTATTGTCTTCTCCCTTAACAACAGGAACTTCGGGCTCCGTTGCGGTCGTAGGTCGAGGACCCCCCTGCACCCGGCTCCTTTTGGGGCGAGGGTCCCTCTGGCAGCGTCGGCCTCCTTCTCCCCCTCCCAAGACCCATCTCCCCTCCCCCTCCCCCCCCCCCCTACCCTCTCGCTGAGAGCGTTGTACTTGATGGCCAGTTCATCGCGCTCGGCTCGGCTTTGGGCCAGCAGGTCCTCCACGCGGGACAGTTCCTGCTGCAGGAGCCGGTTCTCCTCCTGCACGGACAGAAGGGACGACGACGACATCTCTCGCTCGCCCCCGGGAAAGAAGAGGCTGAGGCGGCGGCGGCGGAGGAGGGGGGTCACTCCCACTCAGTCGGGCGCTCGACTACAACTCCCAGCACCCTTTGCGCGCGCGCGCTGGGGGTTGTGTGTGTGTGTGAGGGGGGGGTGTTTGAAGGCGCTGGAGGGTCGCCGCTTTCTTCCTTCGCGTCACAGAGGCCGAGGCCCTTTTTTTCCCCCGTCGAGCGCCCGCGTTGCGAACCCCGGACGGGGAGACGCGGCTTCTGCCCTCAGACGCCGGCGAGGATAAATAAAGGCGCGAGGCCCGCTCGCCTCACAACGCCGGTTGCTATGGCGCCGGGCTGAAAAGCGTTGCGCGTGCGCGTTGCCCACACTTGGTCCTCTTGCCTGCCTATGGAAGCCGCCCCCCTGCACCCGGCTCCTTTTGGGGCGAGGGTCCCTCTGGCAGCGTCGGCCTCCTTCTCCCCCTCCCAAGACCCATCTCCCCTCCCCCTCCCCCTCCCCAGGACCCCCGCCTCCCCCTCCCCCCCCTACCCTCTCGCTGAGAGCGTTGTACTTGATGGCCAGTTCATCGCGCTCGGCTCGGCTCTGGGCCAGCAGGTCCTCCACGCGGGACAGTTCCTGCTGCAGGAGCCGGTTCTCCTCCTGCACGGACAGAAGGGACGACGACGACATCTCTCGCTCGCCCCCGGGAAAGAAGAGGCTGAGGCGGCGGCGGCGGAGGAGGGGGGGGGGTCACTCCCACTTAGTCGGGCGCCCGACTACAACTCCCAGCACCCTTTGCGCGCGCGCGCTGGGGGTTGTGTGTGTGTGTGTGTCTGAGGGGGGGTGTTTGAAGGCGCTGGAGGGTCGCCGCTTTCTTCCTTCGCGTCACAGAGGCCGAGGCCCTTTTTTTCCCCCGTCGAGCGCCCGCGTTGCGAACCCCGGACGGGGAGACGCGGCTTCTGCCCTCAGACGCCGGCGGGGATAAATAAAGGCGCGAGGCCCGCTCGCCTCACAACGCCGGTTGCTATGGCGCCGGGCATGAAAAGCGTTGCGCGTGCGCGTTGCCCACACTTGGTCCTCTTGCCTGCCTATGGAAGCCGCCCGAGGCCATTCCGGCTCAACCCGCGAAACGTTCCCACACCCCCAAGTGGTCAAATCAAGGAACTGCGAGACTGAGTTGGCGGGAAAAGTTTTTTTTTTAATTCGGAAACGGAGTGCAGGAGAGACGGTCAAAACTGGACTCAAGTGACCCGACAGGAGTCCAGCAAGGAGAAAAGGGATGGAGTCCTTTCCCAAAAGCAGCGGATGCTTTCCCCAACACTTTTGGGTTCTTCTTGAGCCCTAAACCAACATTGTTGGTTATCCTATGGCTCGGCCGAGGAGTCGGCACAACTGTGCACAGCCCCCACCAAAGTACAGTGGTCCCCCTTGGGAAGGAAGGGAGACAGAAGAGCAGGCGGAGAAAATCTCCGCTTCACAAACGGCGGGCTGGCACTTAAACCACTGCAGCCCCCTACACACACACACAAAACACACACTCACACAAACCACACAAGTCCCAGGTGCTGGCGGAAGAGAGAGAGAGAGAGAGCGCGAGGTGATCGGCAGGGAAGCCCTCCTCTGCCTCGCCACAAGGTCCGAAGCCAAAGCCGAAACCCATCCAGGCAGAGGATCCGTCGGAAGAGGCAACGGGGTACGCGGCCCATCTCCCGGTCTCTGGGTTACAAAAGGGGGGGGTCCCACTCTTTGGCTTTCGGGCCTCTGCTTCAGAACTGGACCCAGTCGGAGTTCTGCTGAGGTTGAGAGCCGGACCTTCGAGGAGACAAAACACAGGCCGTGAGCGGCAGACTTCCACCGCTACCATCACCCCGACACCTGATGGAACCAGAAGCCACATCTGGGGGGTTCATTTTTTTCGGGGGGCAGAGGGGCTTGGAAGTTCTTGCGCTCAGCAAGGGGCACTTAACAACCTCCAGGAATTTTAGCCAGCGTCCGTGCCGGAGTGACACCCCCGCCGACGCTCTTAAGGACTCCCGCAAGAATTTCCGAGGGAGGAAAAGAGAAGTCACCTGAAATGATGACTTGGCATCCGTGGCGCCCCTCTTACCAGAATCTTTGAAAGCTTATGCGCTAATACCAGCGGTCCCAAAAACCTTTCTGGCTTGATGACAGGGGACGATTCTGTGCGCATGTTTTCAAGGCTTTTTTCAGCCTGTTTTCGGGCTTCCTTCAGCCCATTTTCGAGGCTTTTTTTGGCCTGTTTTTGAAGCTGTTTTCAGCCCATTTTTTTGGAAAAAACGGGCTAAAAAAGGCCTGAAAACAGGGCGTGCGGAGGCCAAAAAAAACGACCGGCCAGTGGATGGGGCTTCAGCAATATTCGGTCTATAAGACGCACAGACATTTTCACCTCCTTTTGGGAGACAAAAAAGTGCGTCTTATAATCCGAAAATTATGGTAAATAGTGGGACTGGCAAATTCTTTGGTAAGATCTAAACTATATTACAAGAATTTAAAAGGGACAGAAATGCTAACTTTTTCATGGTGGAGGACTTCAAGACAATTCCCCACTGTATGGACCCAATAGTTCCACTACCTGTCCTTTTTTGGAAGCGGGATAATGTGCTGGCAGGGCAGGACTTAAGCCTCCCAAAACATGACCCAAAGGGGCATCTCCTCACCCGGAAGCTTTAGTGAAATCTCCCCAGATGTCTGCAAAAGCTTCTCTTGAAGAACTTGGCGGCTGTGAGGGCTGAGACCCGGCAACATCTGCTTGGCAAACTAAGCGTGGGGAGAAGAAGAGGTTAGCTTTGTGTTTCCCGTTTCCAGATGTTCCTCGCAGAAAGGGCTTTTGTCTGAGCTGGCAAAGAGAAGCCCTGTTTACTTAGCATGCATCCATTTCCTGAAAAAAGACCTTTGCATAACGTAGTCTGCGGGATTTAAAATTATGAATTTAATGGTCCCTGAGGTCCGAAAGGTTGGTGACCCTTGCACTAAAGGACAGCTAGACGATGGGCAAAAATGAGGTCTGTGGTCCTCAGAGTGGGTGTAAAAGGCCCCAGCTGACCCCACCTACCACCAGACAACTAAAGAAGTCTCAAAGCAGGAGCTCCCTTTTCCAGTTTGGTTATCAAAGTGAATCCCGCCCCCCCCCCAGGGGTGAAATCCAGTAGGTTCTGGAGAACCAGTAGCGGAAATTTTGAGCAGTTCAAAGAACCGGCAAATACCACCTCTGGCTGGCCCCAGAGTGGGGTGGGAATGGAGATTTTGCAATATCCTTCCCCCTGGAGTGAGGTGGGAATGGAGATTTTGCAGTATCTTTCCCCTGCCACGCTCACCAAGCTAAGACACGCCCACTAAGCCACCCCACGCCCACAGAACCGGTAGTAAAAAAAAAATTGGATTTCACCTCCCCCCCGAGGACCTACACAGACCTGTTTGGACAGCATCTGCTGAGGTTCCCGGAAGAGGCAAGGGAAGCTCTTCTTCAGGTGTGGGGAGGAAGGGGGTCTTTCCCCCTGGAGGTGGGGGAAGAAGGGGGAGTCCCGTGAAGTCCGCACTTCGTGGCCTACTTCCCGAGGAGCCATCCTTTTTTTTCATGTTCTGCAAGGGGGGGGGGGGGGGGAAAGACCAAAAAGCTTTCAGGCCCATTCGGAAGCCTCCCAGTTGAGGATGGAAGTTAGCCCGAGGAGGAGGGTTTTCCCGAACGTCGGGCTTCAGGATTCTGCTCCCCTTCCCATGACTCAAACATGGCAGGAATCGCCCACCGAGCTAACGGGGACACTTCACCACCTTATAAGTGTGCTTGAGTGCATCTTGTCTTTCTTCCCCAACCCCTGGACAAGGCCTTTCTCACCGCAATGTTGAGCTTGATGGTCTGCCCTTCTTTGAATCCCAGGTCAAGTTTGGGGCCCTGGGTTGGGTTTTGGGCTTCCTTGGCTAACTCGGTCTGTTGCTTGACCCACCTGCGGAGAGAGAGAGAAAAAGAGAGAGAGAGAAAGAAAACAAAGCGGTGGAGAGCAAGAAAAGATGCGGGCAGAACAAGGAAGAATTTTCCCCTTGGAGAAGCCAGTTACTTAAGACAGACGTTTCTATTCCTGGAAAAAAAAAATCCACGTAGCAAAGGTGGCCTCCTCCCATATCTGTATTTCCCTCTAGAGCTGGAAACAAGGGGTGAGAAACAAGCAGTGATGGAATCTGTGCCCCCGCCCGACCTCGTTGCTTTGGATCTTATATTCCCCCATTTGGCCCAGATACGGCTCTTGAGATCTTTCTGGAACACCTGGAGGCAAGGAGAACTGGAGAGTTTTCTATGGTTTTCCCCATCCCTCTAGAATAGGACTGTCAAACTCACATTGTCACATGTCACGGACTTCCCCCCCCTTTGCTAAATCAGGCGTGGGCGTGGCCAGCACATGACACATCCGGCCCGTATTTGACAGCCCTGCCTTACCCTGCCAGATTCAGAGGGCGCTCTCCAGGGGTGAAATCCAGCAGGTTCTGACAGGTTCTGGAGAACTGGTAGCGGAAATTTTGAGTAGTTCGGAGAACTGGCAAATACCACTTCCGGTTGGTCCCAGAGTGGGGAGGGAATGGAAATTTTGCAATATCTTTCCCCCAGGAGTGGGGAGGGAATGGGGATTTTGCAGTATCCTTCCCCTGGACTGGGGTGGGAATGGAGATTTTGCAGTATCCTTCACCCAGGAGTGGTGGGAATGGGGATTTTGCAGTATCCTTCCCCTGCCACACCCACAAAGCCACGCCCACAGAAGCAGTACTAAAAGAATTTGAATTTCACCACTGGTGCTCACCCAATGCCTGGGAAGGCTGCTAAAATGGAGTCATTCTGCCAAGGTTACAGATTAGCCAGGGTGGGGGCATGTGCTGTCTTGGAGTTGGTTATAATATCAGAAGACCCCACCTCCGCTCTATTGTATCTGCCCCCAACTACCTTAGCTATTTCCTCTTTATTTTTAATACATCCCTTGTCTTAACTGTGTTGATTCTTTTATATTGTTTCATCAAATTTCAAATCTCCCAGAGTTGCGTGACAGCCGTGACGGGCAGCGAATAAACGTAAATAACACGATATAAATATAAAGGTTGTCCGTTTTGTTCCCAGATGCCAGATTTTTTGCCAGGTTTTGAGTGGCGGGCGCACGTCAAGAAGGATCAGCTGTCTGATTGGTCATGGGGAGACCGCTCTGCTGATTTCCCTTCCTGGGGAAAAGAGCCTCCGGCAAGAGTCCTGGCACCAAGGAAAGGCTGCTCACTTGAAATGATCTTGCAGTGCCACATTGAAGTCAAAAGCATCCCCTCGGTCAACAAAGCCAATTCCGATGAATGCACGGCGCCCTGTAAGGAAAACTAAGCTCAGGAAGGTGGCGGAAAGTCGCTTGGCTGTAGGTTAGCTCACCGGGAAGCCTGGAACCAAGACCTCAGGAGGGCTGAGTCATACCAAAGCATCGCACACGTAGCTCCAGATTGCAGCAGATCCGGCCAAAAGGGCCCTCTCCACGCAGGCTGTTGACCCGGTGAGAAGCCACAGGCCCACTAGGGAAGGGTGCCAAAAAGGTTCAACCTCCATTCTCTCTATCTGCTAGGGATGGGCCGCAGCCCCGCACAGGTGCCCGTGGAGCTGGTTAACAGAGAGTTACCATAGATAGCAAAGAAGATTCGGCGTTATCAAAGGAGGAGAGGCATTGCGAGAGGAGAGCCAAGCGGAAGCTTAAGAGAATTCAAGAATATTCACAGAAGAGCCCCAGGTTGGGAAGCAGCCTGATAAATAGAGAAGGGGGAAGGCGGATGGCCCCAAGGAAGGGCTGCCCACAGCCTTGCACACTACTTTAAAGGAAGGAAACAAAGAGTGAAGAGCATTTCACGAGGTTCGCTTAGAATCATTTCTGCCTAGCACGGGGGGGGGGGGGGAAGTCTCCTCCATCAGCACCAAGGACAGGGCTCGGACGCCACAGACAAGAGGAGGCTTTCCAGGTAAAATCACAATTAGCTTTGCCTCCCTCCCCCCACTCCCCAAAAAAACCGGACCGGATTTCCCACCCACCCACCCAAGGAGGGCAGGATCCAAAGCATCTCACCCTTCGTACCATTCCCATCTTCGACCCGGATGACGAAATATCGGCTTGAGTCTGTCACGCTTTCCACGGCGATGCTAGGAAATTGGTCCACGGAAGCCTGGGCGAAAAGCTCTCCTGGGGGAAGAGAAGGGAAGGAGTGCCAGGTGGGCAGCCGATCCACTTGCTGCTTCTGGCTGCTGTTGCTGCTGTGCTGCTGTTGTTGTTGTTGTTGTTATTAGTTCGATTTATATGCCGCCTTTCTCCGGAGACTCAGGGCGGCTTACAATGCATTTAAAAAAAACCATTATAAAAACATCTACCAAGGAGCCTTGGTAGTACAGTGGTTTAATGCACCCTGTTATTAACACAGCTGCCTGCAATTTCTGCAGGTTCGAATCTTACCAGGCTCAAGGTTGACTCAGCCTTCCATCCTTTCTAAGGTAGGTTAAGTTTGTGGGGGCAATAAGCTGACTTTGTATAAATATACAAAAGTATGAAGGCTATTGCTTAACGCATTGTAAGCCGCCCTGAGTCTCCGGAGAAGGGCGGCATATAAATCAAATTAAAATAAATAAAATAAATAAATAAATCTAAAAATTAAAAACATTAAAAACTCATTCACGCCATTCATGGCCGGATCTCGCCAGATCACAAGAACGAGATCAACGGCCCCAGGCCTGCCGGAAAAGCCAGGTCTTCACCGCTTTTCGGAAGGCCAATAGCGTGGGGGCGGTCCGGACCTCAGGAGGTAACTGGTTCCAGAGAGCTGGGGCAGCCACAGAGAAGGCCCTCCCACGCGGGCCCGCCATCCGACATTGTTTAGCTGACGGGACCCGGAGGAGACCAACTCTGTGGGATCTTACCGGTCTCTGGGAGCTATGCGGTAGAAGGCGGTCTCGAAGATAACCTGGCCCTGAGCCCTGTAGGGCTTTAAAGGTAATAACCAACACCTTGAATTGTGACCGGAGACCAATAGGGAGCCAGTGCAGCTCGCGGAGAATTGGTGTAATGTGGGTGTACCTAGGTGCATCCACGACAGCTCGCGCGGCTGCGTTCTGGACCAACTGTAGTCTCCGAACACACGCCCGCCCAACGGCCTCCCCCCGCCGCAAAGAGACCCTCAGCCACCCTGGAGGGAGGCCCCTTACCCGAATTCTTGTCCTCCAGCTTAATGAAGGCCACGTTGCCCTGGGCTGTGATGCGCATTCGGCCGCTCCAGGACGGCTGGTCCAGCTGCCACTCCGCGGCACTAGGAGGAAAAGCGAAGGTAGCCCGGCCTTCCAGCCCTGTTTCTCACCCTGGGGAGTCTCCCCACCACCGGCTAAGGCAGAAGTCTTCAAACTTGGCCGCTTGAAGGCTTGTGGACTTCAACTCCCAGAATTCTCCAGCCAGCATAGCTGGCTGGAGAATTCTGGGAGTTGAAGTCCACAAGCCTTCAAGCGGCGACGTTTGGCTTAAAGGGGGGGGTAATGGGAAATGCGTGCAGATCTCTCTGCGCATGCCCAGAACCCAGCAGGGGAGCCGGTCCACTCAGCCAGGGGATGATGGGACTGGGAACCCCGCACCGCCCCCACAAGGGCGAAGCGACACTCGACCGCCGGGTGGGGGAAGACTCACCGATAGCCGCGGTTGGAGGCCCGCGGGGGCACCCGGTAGACGTGAACCTCCGGTTTGACGCACAAGACGGACTCGTAGTCTTCGCCTTCCGACATCTTCGCCCCTCCCCACCAACACCCACACCAAAACCGCTGGGCTCTTCCGGGCATGCGCAGAAGCCTTCGCTCCGCGCTAGGCAACGACCTGTCGTCACTTCCTAGCCGCGGGGAAGTGAGTGGGTGGGGAGAAGAAACGAGAAGCCCCGCCCACATGTCTTTAATAGAGCGGCTCTGGCGCCCTCTGGCGGGTCGGCGGAAGGTCCGCTCCGGTTGCAGCGACGCTGGGGTGGGACTGGAGGTGGGGAGGAGGAAAAGACTCCGATCCGTCTCTTTTTTTTAAACAGTAAGAGTTGGAAGGGTCCCTTGGAGGTCATCTAGTCCAACCCCCTGCACACGCAGATGACCTGTTTATTAGGGGATTCGAACCGCCGAACTGCCCCCACCCCTCGAATAAGAAGCAGGAAAGGACAACGTTGGGAAAAAAAAAAAGTGAACGCGTTTATTTCACTAAACACAGCGTGTAAATCTTTCGTCCGCATGGCAAGCTCTGCCTGGAAGAGAAGTTCCCCGGAGCGCCTCCGTGGGGTGGGGAGGGGAAGGGGCTTTACCGTCGATCCCTCCCCTCCCCCAACGCAGGGACCCCCCCCAAAAAATAAAACTATCCCGCCTCCTCCCCCCCAGAAGGGCGCTGCTTCCCGGCCCGCGGGTCCACAGCAACGACCCCCCCCCACCCTGGGATCGGCTGAGCCTCAGTGCCCCCTTCCCCGATTGGGTCACTGGTGGGGGGGGTCTTTGCCTTCCCCTTGATGCCCCCCCCAAGTCAGCGGTTAAAAGAACCGATGGGGGGAAAAAAAAAAAACCTCTTCCTGGTTCTGGGAAGGGGCAGCAATAGTAGAGCAATGAAGCCTGGCGGACTTCAACTCCCAGAATTCCCCAGCCAGCTTTGCTGGCTGGGGAATTCTGGGAGTTGAAGTCCACCAGGCTTCAAGTTACCAAGGTTGGAGAGCGAGGCAGCTCTAGGGATTAAAAGGGGGAGGCAGCCCCTGTTTGGGGGGGGGGAGAAAAAAGGCCACCCAGAAAATCTGGGGTGGGGGTCAGCAAAGCAAACAGGGGGGGAGGGGGAGAAAGAGGCAGGGATGGAAAGAGAAGAGAGGGTACCCACTCAAGAGCCAGCCGGTTGTTTTTTTTTTTTTTCCCTTCACTTTTTGTACACAGGTAGTTTTTTTATTTCTCTTATCATCATCATTATTATTACTTCTCTTTTTGACCGGTCGCTTCCTTCTTTTGCGGCGTTTTCCATACACGTCCTGTGTTGATGTACAAAGAGACACCGTTCCTCCGGCACATCCCACCCCGCCAACCCACCTCCGCCCCCCCCACCACACACCCCATACACACACAAGAGAGACACTTAACACGCCCCCCTCCCCATCTCCTCTCCCTTTTTTTCTTTCTACACACCGGTTCTCTCCTCCTCAAAACCAGCAGCGAAAACCCGAGAAAGGCAGATTTTGGGAAAACACAGTGAAGCGAGCTAGCCCAGGCACCTGGAAGTGGTGTGGGGAGGGCCTTTCCCCCCCCACACTCAAATATGGCTGCTAAGGAGCAAAGCCCCAGCTGGTCCTGACACTTGGCATTTGCCGCGCGGGGCAGGGGTCTCCTAACCAGCCCCCTCCAGTGTTTTTTTTGTTTTTGTCTGACCACCTGGGAAAAAGCTAAAAGGAGTATTGCTTGAGGCCCTGCCAGGCACGGAGTGAGCCTTCCCATCACTGCAAATCCATTCTTCCCCCCCGGGGGGCGGGGGGGGAGGCCATCTTGAAAATGGTTCCTAACGGCGGCATCTAGGCCCGTGATTCAAGACTTTTGGAGTCTTTGGTGACCCGTCCTGTTTCGAGACCTTCTTTCCGACTTCTAGACCTTGCTCCTTCTCCGCCCGCCCGTCCGCCCGCTTCTTTGCCTTCCAAATAGCGGACTGACCCCAAGAACGAACGGGGCCAAACGCCTCACCAGCTCGGCCTGACGTCCATGGCCAGCGCAAGCAACACTTGGGCATCCTCCCGAGGACCGAGCAGGACACGATGGGAGACAGGAACTACTCTATATTCCTAGCTCAAGAGTCCTAGTGGCGAAAAGCAGGCCTCCCCCCATTCTTTGTCTGGAAGCAGCACCAAGAGGCGCAAGGGAGTGCCGGTCGAGACCGGGAGGGCTCCCAAACTCCATCCCACGGAGGCAGAGGCGCTGGGGTCTCTTGCCGGAGCTCACGAAGCGGCGGAGCTGGCCCGGTAGGAAGACGGGCCCAACACGCGCCCTCCTCCTCCTCCATTTGTTCGTTCCAAAGCGGCAGCAAGCAGGAAGAGGAAGAGTCGCCCACCGCCGCTTTCTCTCAACTCCCCTCTTCTCTCAACACTAGCAACTACCGTTTCTCAAGAGATAAAACACGTTAAACAGCTAACACACCCCTTCTTTTCTTCTGCTGCTGCTTCTACTTCCCGTGCGTGAGGGCTCCAAAGCCATCCCGTCCCCCCACCCCAAAAGCAAAGGATCAAACCTTTGCGTACACCTTCTGCCCACCCGTCGCGTTTCCGCCTTGCTCCAAATGTAACACGCACCGACACGCACATGTTGAGAAGCAGAGCCCTCCCCATCCCTCCTGCTTCCCATGCCAGAGGGAGCCGACGGGAGAAGTCATTCCTTTGTTGGGGAGTGAGGGGCGGGAAGCCTCGCTTCAGCAGGCAAGTTGCAGCAACCCGGTCCCCCGGAGGAGAAGCCTGCCCCGCTGCCTGCTCCTCCCACGGTGCGCCCACCTTGGCATGTCAATTCTACGGGGAGGCGCAGCAGGAGTCCCAGTGCCTGGGCTGAGGGTCACGAGAGGCAGCAAAGAGCCAAGGGGACGCTTCGGGCAAGTCCCGCCCCTGTGGTTCAAGTCCATTGGTCTGCTGAGGAAGGGGAGCACCCTGCTTTCATACCGGCTGGTCGGCCAGCCAAGCCTATCTGCGTTGCTTGAAGCCCTGCGAACCGTCGGGGCCCAGCGGCTGCCTGATCACATTGCTGGGCTGCCTCGAGTCTTCCGGCTGGGAGATCCTTGTGGGCCTGAGGGAAGGGTGGAGGGGGGAAAGAACACTCAGTCCAGTTAAAAGCTCTCCCCTCCCTGGGAGTCCAAAGGAGAGATTAGCCTCGGCTTTAAGAAGAGGATAGGTTGCCCAGCCCCACGGAGGCCCATGAGGAGACCCTCCCTTGGGAAACCGATCCCCCTCAGATTAAAGACCCAAGGCCCTCGAAGCGGCTTTCTGAACATGCTTCTCTCCCCCTCTTCCCCTAAGCTGAGCCCAATGGGACAGGATTGAGATGAGCCAGCAGGCCGCATCTTCTGGGCACGGACAGGACCTTGGCCTCAGGCAGCAGGGAGAGTGGCGCAGAGAAATTTGGCAGTGGCAGTGGCGGCATCAGCTGCGCCAGGGCTCCCTTACCTGTCAAGGATAGGCTTTTCTTGCTCCTCTTCCGGACTGGCGCTGCCCAGAATCCGCTTCCTGGCCTCTGCGTATTCGGCTTCCCTCTGGGCCAGGGTCTTCACTGGGAAGGCAGGTCGGCTGGTGGAGTTGGGGTTAGTCAGTACCCCGTTGCTCGTGGGCCGCTTTAAGATCCGAATCTGCGGAGGAGGGCCCGAAGGAAGACTGTCGTCCTGAATTACGATCGGCACTTTGGGTGGGGACTTGGATTTCCTGCTATAAAAGGAAAGAGTGGGGGGAGGGCGGGAAACAATTTTTTTTGTGCTGTTGCCCCCTCCCCCCCAAAAAACCCCCCACCTCTCAACCGGTCCTCTGAACTAAGGCCCTCTGCCTATTCACCGAAACGCAAGCTTATTCTCTTGGTTGCCCATCCAGATTTTCTGACTAATCAGCAGAAATCAGGGCTTAGCTGTTCATTTTTAAGACGGAATCTTTAAAAAAGAACAAAAATCAGGACGCCACTCCTATTTTTCCCAGCCGTGAATGCTATGGAATGATTCTTACCTTTCTTTTTGGCTGATTTTCAGTTTCTTTTCCAGTCGTCTATCTATTTCCTGCAAGGCAAGGTCAGTGGGTCAAGTTCCATCCCTGGGGGGGTGGGGTGTCAGACACCTTGCAGTACCAAGCGACAAGCCTGGCCCTCCCTTTCCCAGCAAGACAATGCCACATCAGTTAACTAACTCATCTTTGAAGCATCAAGAGGTTCCCACAGAGAGAGAGAGAGAGAAAGAAAGAAGGGATGAGGGTGGGGGGGGAGAGAGAAAGACCCTCTCAATCCCTTGCTTTTCAGAGGGAGAAAGCCAAGGCCTTCCCTGGGAAAGGAGCCCAGGGTGAACCTTATCCACAGACCAGAATCGAAATGGGCTCGTGCCAGACGTGAGATCGACTGGCAGCTGCGGTCTGCTGACGCTTCGCATTTGAGCAAACGGCGAGATAAAATTAGAGCCTGGTTTTGTAGGTTGCCCAGATCAGCAGCTAAAAAAAATTATCAGACGGGGCTTCTCTGCTATGGAGAGTCACAGGCGGTGCCTTTGGCCCGGCTGATCGAGTGCCTCGGATAACTTCCACTGGCATACTTACCATCATGAGCACAGGGCATGCCCGGTCATTCTCACTGGCAAAACCATGGTAGGGGGAGGGGAGGGGATGTCACCATTAAAGATCGGTAACCAGAAAGATGAGAATCTGTTCTCCATCCGAGACTCGGGGAGACCATTTCTCTCATTCCAAGCCAGCGATGCCGCTAGAGGTGGCCCAACAGCCTGGCCGGTTGGCGGCTGAACTCTCCTTCAGGCATGACGGTGTCTGAAGGGGTGGCAGTTTCCCAGAGCAGGGACGTGGTCCCAGCTCAACCACGGCTGTCTTGGTTGGCTATGTAGGGAATAGTTGCTCCGGCGGCCCTTTCCTTGAGGCCAGGCCTAAGGGCCAGCACACTTCAGCCGTGTCCTGCTTCCTGCGGCTGGGTTTTGCAATAAGACATTCCCTTAACAGCTTTCCTGCTAAGGTGTAACTACATTTGCTTTGTAGTCCAAAGTCTGGAGGGCGAGTTAATCTTTGAAAGTGAAGGCAAGCTCGCTTGGCTGAATTGAGTTTTTCTTCTCCAGCGAACTCAACGCACACGAACCCCCTTGGTAAGATTTTCGTCTTATCCAAGCAGTTCATTTTACATGGGGGCCCGTTGGCCAAAATTGGGCTCTCGGGTTCAGGTCAGTTGACACATCTCTGAACACCGCCATTTTCGGTGGCGAGGGTGCCGCCTCCCTTCCTTGCTGAATTTCATTCAGAGCATGGATTCTCCCTACAAGTTGCCCTGCCCTCCCCCCCGTTAAATTATCTGCAGCCGGTAGAAGCAGCCAACCAGCACCTTACTCCAGAGTGACTCTGTGAGATTTGGAAGGGGGGGGAGCGGTATATAAATGCAATAAATAAGTATAGGTAAAGGTAAAGGTTCCCCTCGCACAGATGTGCTAGTCGTTCCCGACTCTAGGGGGGGCGGTGCTCATCTCTGTTTCAAAGCCGAAGAGCCAGCGCAGTCCAAAGATGTCTCCGTGGTCATTTGGCCGACATGACTCAATGCCAAAGGTGCACAGAACACTGTTCCCTTCCCACCAAAGGTGGCCCCTATTTTTCTACTTGCATTTTTTTTCGTGCTTTCGAACTGCTAGGTTGGCAGAAGCTGGGACAAGTCACGGGAGCTCACCCCATTACGCGGCGCTAGGGATTCGAACCGCTGAACTGCCGACCTTTCTGATCAACAAGCTCAGCGTCTTAGCCATCACGTCCCTAAATAAGTATAGTCACTAAAAATTACAGATGGTAACAGCGAAATTCAGTGAGAGTATTTGTGCGAGGAAGGAAAAGGCAACGTGACCGCAGAGGGTTATGGGAAACAAGTCCGGCGCCAAATCCGTTAGGCCGAGACGGAACGGACACAAGGATGGGAAGCGGCTGTCAAACCTGCATGTGAGGTTCCAGAAGTCTGAATGACAGCGACATATACGCATGCACACATACAGAGACCCCAATTTGTGTCAGACCCCTACTCTATAGAGATTTCTCTGCCCCCCATAGTCCTCCCTTCATCCAAAGGGTCATCGCGGGCAAAGAAGTAGGAATCGGAAGTGGCAGGCGGGAGCTCTTGCATTCCTAAAAGAGATGGGTTGTAGGAACACAGCCAGGAGGGCTCCCCAAGTAACCTTCCCTTTGGGTTCCTGGCAGACAGTTGCGAAGCCTCCCTCCCTCCTCCCTTCCTTCCGGGGGATGTGCCTGCTTTTGGCCCCTGCTCTGCAGTCCTGGAAGAATTAAACAACGGTCCAAAATCAATGCACGAAAAACAGCAGAGGGGCATCCCTTGCACAGGGCACAGAGCGAGACGCCCGCAAAGGGACTGCGCATACAACACCGGCAAAGCGTGGAATGAAAGGTTTCCCGGGAAGCGACCTCTTTTACATTTACCGCTAGTCCTCGACTTATGACGGTTCATTCAGTGACTGCTCGAAGTGACAACGAAAGGCACCGGAGGAAAAAAACCCCAGCGACTCGCGACCCATCTTTCACACTTCTGACCGTTGGAAGCATCCCCCCCACCCACCCACGGTCACGTGATTTACGTTCAGACCCTGGTTCGTTATTTATGACGGTTGCCGCATCCTCTGTGTGTGTGTGTCACATGATCCCCTTTTGCAACCGGTGGTGAAATGCAGCTGGTTCTATCCGACTCGGGCGAACCGGTAGCACCGGCGTTCGGGAGGCTCCACCCACCCGCCCGGACGTCATCAGGTCCCATTTTTGACACTCTGCACATGCACAGAGGACACCTGTGTGCACGCACAGAAGATAACGCTCCCATTTGCGACGATAAGTGGATTTCACTCATTTGCGACCTTCCCACGAGCGAAAGTCAATGCGGGGAAGCCAGATTCCTTGAACGACCAGGATACTCACTTTTTAACAACCGCGGTGATTCGCTTAACAACCACCGTGGCCAGAAAGGTCGTAAAACGGGGCAAAACTCGCTTAAGGGAAAAGTCGCTTTCCACAACATCATCCTTGGGAGGGGGGGGGGGGGGGTTCCTCCATTGTGGTCGTAATGTCGAGGACTGCCTGCATAAATCAAGGATTTCCTCCCTGGCTCCAATCTGCAGCCCCCACCCCCCCCCCCCCCCCCCCAAATCCACTTCCAGGATAATCCCTGCAACGGGGAGGCTCTTCCCTCCCTTCCTCCCTCGTCCGCAGGCGGAAGGGCTCATCATCTCCGCTCCCGCCTGTCCCGCCCGGCGTCTCAGCCTTTCCCGGCCGAGAGGGAAAGCCGGTGGCCCCGAGACCACGTGCTGGGGTGGGGGAAAAAAAAAGGGGGCACGGCCCCTTTAAGAGGCCTAAAGAGCCTCGGCCGACCCGGGATGCCTCGCCCACCCACCCACCCACCCGGCCCTCGCCCTTCCCACCCTCGGAGGGGACGGTCCGTCTCCTCCCCGGGGTCCCCGCTGGGACTCGGCGGCGTTCGGCGGGACTCACCCCGCTGTCGGCCGCCTCCTCCCAACTCTCGGCGACCTCCTCATCTTCCATTGTAATGCCCCCTCCGCCGCCAGCCCGCCCGGAGCGCATGCGCGCGGGCGCCCAGTCCTAGCCTGTCGGCGGGACGCGGCCGGGCCGGGCCCCGCCCTTTGGCGTCGGCTCGCGCCAACGCGCTTGCGCCGACGGTCCCTCTTCCTGGGATTGGCTGGCTTGCCGAGCGGAGCGCCCCCTGCCGGCTGATGTCAATGCCTTCTTCGCCCGCCCGCCCGCCTCAGAAGAGACGGCCTCGGAAGGGTTTTGTGCATGCGCGTCCTCTCCCCCAGCCGCCCCCCCCAATCGCAGAAAAATGTTTTTTTTTTTTGGTCTCTCGGCCTCGCTACGTTTTAAATCCCGACTACTAATTCGCGGGGAATTTTCACCTGCCCTCCCCACTCCCCGAAAGTGGATATGTGCGGCCTTGTGAGGGCGAGTGTCCCATTAGCCCGCCTATCGAAGCAGAACACGCAACTTAAGTCTCTCTTCCACGAGCGTGGAAAAGAGAGAGACACAATCTCCCTGCCGAAGATAGTGTGCAACGGCGGGGAGCAGGAGGGGGAAGCAGCCAAAAGCTACGGGCGCAATTTTTTTTTTTGGCCTGCCCAGCCGTGTACCGTCCTTCCGCCACGCCTATCATGGCGGCCGCCCCGCCCCCTCCCAGCTTTGACCTTCTGGGGGCTGGCCCGCGCGCATGCGCCCCACGCTCTCCAGGCGGAGTCTCTTCCCCCACCCGCGCGCGCGCGTGTACGCGTTGCGCGCGCATGCGTCCCACCCCCCCACTCGCGCCCAAGATCGCCCCGCCTTTCCTCGCGCCCTCTCTCGCTCTCTTCCCGGTTGGGAACAGCTGCAAGATGGCGGCGGCGGCGGCGGCCACGGCGGCCGGGAAGGTCCAAGCCGTGCGCGAAGTCGGCCTCCGCGGGGCCTACGGGCGCCCGCCCAAGCGGCAGGAAGCGCTGTGAAACCGACCGAGGAGGAGGGTGGGGTGCGCGATCTCAGGTGAGGCGATTTCCCCTCAGATCCGAGCCGACTTCTTCCCGCCGCCCAAGCACGGCTTGCCCCGGGGACGGTGGCCCTGGGCGAAGGCCGGCGGAGGGAGGGAGGGAGGGAGGGACGGGTAGGCGAGGCGACCGCTGCCGCTCATCCGGCCCCGCCAGCGGCTCTGCAAGCCCGGGGAAGCCGATGGCGCAGAGACAGGAAGGCTGGAGGGAAGGAGGGAGGGAGGGAAGCGGGAGGTCCTGGGCCGAGCCGGGCCTTCCTTTAATTTAATCCATTTATAAAGTGTTATAAAAGCCCTGTAGCCCGCTAGAAAAAGAAAAGGGGGGGGGAGAAATGGGGGAGGAGGTTTTTTCGACCGGGGCGTTTCCCCTTTGGCTGGCTCTGCGCTGAATCCCTCAATCAAGCTGGAAAAGGGACCTTGGAGGTCTTCTAGTCCAGCCCTCCTGCTCAAGCAGGTCTCTCTTTATATATATATATATATATATGTATGTATGTATATATAAATATGTATGTGTGTGTATATATATATGTGTGCGTGTGTGTGTATGTATATATAAATATGTATACGTGTATATATATGTGTTTGTGTGTGTGTGTGTGTTTTTACTGAGACTCCTGCTCTACCTCAACATGTGGGAGGGGGCATTCTTGAAATAGATCTATAATAGTCTCCCTTTATTTCTTTATCAGCAAAAATATAAATTTTAGATAGATAGATGTATATATGTATATATGTGTGTGTATATGTCGGTGGGTGTATATATGTATGTGTGTGTGTGTGTGTATATATGTATATATGTGTGTGTGTGTAAATGTATATATAAATGTTTTCTGAGGTTTTCGCGGGTGTTTGTATGTAGGTCTTTGGTTATTCGGGTTTTCTCCCGCGTAAAATTGGAGGTTTCTTGGCAACGTTTTGACGAAATCTCATTCGTCATCTTCAGGCTGGTCGCGGGAGAAACCCGAATAACCAAAGACCTATGTATATATAAATATGTATATGTGTGTACAGTATATATATGTATATGTGTGCGTGTTTATATGTATATGTATATATAAAGTGTGTGTGTGTGTGTGTGTGTGTGTGTGTATATATATATATAGGTATACACATATGTATATAAATATAAATATATATATAATATATATATTATATATAAGTAGGTATATGTGTATGTATATGTGTGTATATGTATATTTTGTTTGTATGTATATGTGTATATATATATGTGTGTGTTTGTATATGTATATATATACACACACACACACAAACATACATAAACATTTATATATATATAGAGAGAGAGAGAGAGACCTGCTTGAGCAGTGGGAGCTGGACTAGAAGACCTCCAAGGTCCCTATAATATAGGGCCACCTGCTTGAGCTGGTGTATATACCATTCCAGACAAGCAGCTGTCTAATCTCTCTTAAAAAAACGCCTCCAGTGATGGAAGCACCCACAACTTAGTACAGTATAGCCTTTATTATCGTTGTACATCGTGTATACAACGAAATTGGTTCTGGTGGCAAGCCGTTCCACTGGTTAACTTGTCCTCGCCGTCAGGAAGTTTCTCCTTGAATTCCAGGTTGCTTCCCCTCCT